TTCAACCTATTCTATTTATAATTTTATTTATAATTTATGTACACAGAGTTATGGCAGAGATGTAAATAGATGAAATAATTTGTACAAAGGCCCTGTTTATTTCATAAGAAATTTCTTCCAGCAGACCTGTGACTGGAAATTGGTTACAGATGGTAGTTAATAGTGTACATACATCAATTAAAATACATGTATATGCAATAATTATAAATATGATATCATTACTAAAATAAAATATATATAAATACATAAATACACATTATACATATCGACGCTTGAAAGGCAACCCTAACTAAGCGACACTTAGCAAATTTTACAGGAGAGTGATTTAAAGTTCAAATATAAATTTAAAAAATCATAAAAATTCAACCAATTGTTCGATTTAAATGATGATAACACTGGTAGAATTAATTTTTTTGTGGCTATTGAAATTGTCACAATAAGACAGCTCACACTTTTATAAACACCAGATTGTGTCGGGTAGATAAAAAATTACCTGATTTCATAAACAGGTAAAATTATATAAGTCATCACTGTAGCATATGCTGTAACATGTAAAAATAGGTAAATTTACTTAGTTTAAAATTTTGATACAGAAAAATTGATCTAAAATAATCAGAGTTTAAATTAATAAATCAAGTAAATTTATCTAACCATTATTTAATGATTTTTGTGATTGTGGAAATTCTATCTAGTTATTAAAAATTACTCCAAACCTAGCTTCGTAATTGATATTAAATCAAAAACTGTATTGGTAAATCAAGCACAAAAATAAATGAAATCAATTATGTGGAATAAAATTCTTTATTAAAAATTAAACAAATGCGCTACGTACAAAATTAAATAAGGAAACTAATTAACCTAACATAACATTTAGTCTGAGATCATCTTAAATTGAACAATTGTTATTGCAGTCGCAATCATAAATTACACTATCATGAAGATGACTCATTTTCTAAAAAACTATAACTAACAATTTTAGGTAAATGAATTATCACGAATAAACTATTAAACATAGTAATGTTTTCAAGCTTCTGGACTGAAAAGAACGTGGTATAAACATCGATGGCGAATACATCACCCATCCTCTATATGCCGACGTATAGTCATCATGGCAGAATCGCAGGCGGACCTTAGTACTATGCTCAATGACCTTAAACAGTGCCTCTCAACGGGTGGGCCTTAATATGAATATGGACAAGACGAAGATCATGTCTAATGTTATTGTTGGGAGCACTGTGCTCGAATTTGTTGACCAATATGTATATCTAGGACAATTAGTCCGGCTAGGTAAGTTCAACTTCGACGCAGAGGTCAATCGACGAATCCAACTCGGATGGGCAGCGTTCGGGAAACTTCGGCAAATCTTCTCGCCGAATATACCTCAATGTTTGAAGACTAAAGTCTTCAACCAGTGTATGCTGCCAGTGATGACATACGGGACTGATACGTGGTCCTTCACTGCTGGCCGTATGAGGTAGCTCAAAATCGCTCAGCGAACTATGGAGCGGGCTATGCTCGGTATTTCTCTGCATGATAGAGTTTGCAATGAAGACATCCGCAGTAGAACAAACGTAACCGACAAAGCTCAGAAGGTTAGTGAGCTGGAGTGGCGATGGGCCGGCCATATAGCTCGTAGAACTGATAACCGTTGGGGAAGAAAGGTTCTCGAGTGGCAGCCTCGTACTGGCCATCGCAGTATAGGACGACACCCAATAGATGGAGTGACAACCTGTTCTCTGCAGATCTATGGGGGATCTCGGTTAAGGTGATCAGTTCTATTATTGATGCTATATCGTGGCGAATTTCCTGGCCTTATGAAACATAGTAAAATCATTCCGGTGTTTAAATCTGGTAGTACTTCCGACCCCAATAATTTTAGACCTATCCCTGTACTGCCAACTCTTAGTAAAGTTTTTGAAAAAATCATGTTTAATCAAATGTTACAGCATTTTAGCTCTCATAATTTATTACATAACAAGCAATATGGGTTTACTAGGGGTCGCTCAACAACGGATGCGGGTGTTCAGCTTATTATGAATATTTTTGAAGCCTGGGAAGAGTCGCAGGATGTCTTAGGTATATTCTGTGACTTAACCAAAGCTTTCGATTGTGTACAGCATCAGACCTTGTTCAGGAAACTACGCCTCTATGGTATAAGAAAAAAAATCAATATTTTTTTGTCGTTTAGTAAGCACATTATGTAGATTTTGACCGAAATCTCTCAATATCTAAGCGACAAAAAACTCGTCGTAGAACCATGAGATTCAGATCAAACGACGCGAAAAATTCTGGCGATTCGAATGGTATATATAACTCATTTTACGGATTTTTGTCGCTTAGTTAGGGTTGCCTTTCAAGCGTCGATATATATATATATACATAAATAAGTAAATAAATATATAAATATATATGTCGCATTTATACTGCCATGGAAAGGTAGTTTTAGATTCCCTGATTATTGGTGGGAGTGAGTTCCATAATCGACCTGCATGAACAGTAAAGGAATCGGAATATGAAGCGCTTTTATGGGGAGGGAATTTAAGGAGGGTTTTAAGATGGGAACGGCAAGGAGCGTACGGTGGACGAGCGAAAGCAAATCGCTCACGCAGGTAAGATGGTGAAGTAGGGCAATAGAGGATATCAAAGAGTAGACATAAAATCCTAGTTTTCCTTCGAAATCGTATTGGGAGCCACTTGAGATCCTTGCGAAGATGAGAGACGTGATCAAATTTACGAAGTCCAAAGATAAAGCGTATACATAGATTTTGCAAGCGCTCAAGCTTATTTAGAAGCTCCTCAGTAGCATCCAGGTAACAGGCGTCAGGTTAGTCTATGATGGGTTGGATGAGCATTTGGGCCAGAGAGATTTTAGTCTTTAAGGGCAATACACCCTGGAGGCATTTAAGAGCATGAAAAGAATAGTGAACTTTTTGACTAATTTCACTTACATGTGCACGCCAGGAAAGATTAGATGATATTATTATCCCAAGATCCTTGACAGTTTCAGTGTAAGGTATGGGTATATCGCATAACTTTACGGGGGGTATAGTAGAGAAATTGATCGAGTTTCTTGCATACCTAGTACCGATAATTATCGCCTGTGATTTAGTGGCATTAAGCTTGAGTCCAAATGATTTCGACCAAGAGTTTATTCGGTTTAAATCTTCGTTAACAGTAGCAATAGCTAAGTCTGCTTGTGCTGGAGGAAAATGATGATAAAGCTGCAAATCGTCTGCATAATGCGGCATCTGAGTTAATAAAAATAGAAAAAAGTAAGGGAGAGAACGCCACCCGCGCTTATTTCACAAGAGTTAGAGAATGAATTTTCTATGCGAACGCGCTGCGAGCGGCCCCGAAGATAAGAGTCAAACCAATTTATAGAGGAGGAGGAAATGTTAATTGAATGAAGGATGCCGAGTAAAATATCAAAATCAACAGAAGAAAAAGCGTTATTGAAGTCAAGCAACATCAGTAAAGTAAGTTTGTCTCCATAGCCCATCGAATATCGTCTGTAACTTTGAGGAGAGCAGTAACAGTACTGTGACTGGGCCGAAAACCGGATTGGAAAGAACTTAAAAGCTAATTAGAACATAGAAAAGTGGATAGTTGAGTATGGACAATGTGCTCAAGAACTTTGGAAAGAAAAGGTAAGATGGAAATGGGCCTAAAGGGGGACATTATTGTCGGACAAGTAAACTTCGGGAGTGGTATGATGTGGGCCTGCTTCCAGTCCAAGGGAAATGAACAGGCTGACAATGAGTGATTAAATATGTGGGTAAGAACGGGAAGTACTGATGACAAAATTAAAACTAATTAAAACTACTATTTAAAGTAGTCGCGGGCAGCAGCTATATATACCAATATGGTCCCTTCATCTGCTTTGGGGCCATCCACTAATCACGTGATATTTTTTTTTAGCATTTTGAACCCCTCCCCCCCTCCACCCCCTTGGTGATACGGGGTGAGGTTTAAGACGCCAAACCACACCCAAAGTCACATGTATTTTATAGTACCTACAAATAATCTTAAAATTTTTTTGAATATTCCTTAAATCCTATAATTAAGTTTGTAGCCGTTACCTAAGACTTCAACACTTGGGTTTGCGTAAATGCCATAAAAAAAAACGTTTCAATGTTTTTATTGTGTTTTAATGCATAACTGCAGTTCCTTGACATATCTTACTTAACATTATAAACAGTGCATATTCAGGTTCGAATCCTGTTCGACGAAAATATTTTTTTCACCATCCAAGTAAACTTTACATTAGAACTACACAAATGAGGGAAGAATTTTAAAAGTAAATACAGTTTTAAATATTGGTTATTAAATGATAATGGTAATTAGAAATAAAATCCCAACAGAATAAAAATAGTTAAATACGAAATTCTATATTTAAAATTTTACTTTATATCACTCTTACAACTAAGATGAATCTAGCGACATTTCATATGTTAAAGAAATATGTGTACAGACATTCATATGTAAGCCCGATAAACATTTGTCTCTCATCGGGGCAGCCGAGAAAGAAGCAATTGATGTTTTAATTTAAACATTAAATTCACGAGCTTATAGACGAAAATTTTCTAATCCCCTTAAATACAATTTAAATTGGAAAACTATAAACAAATTAGTATAGTTTGCGTGGATGGCGTAAATTCTATATAACTGTATTGTGATTGTTGAAAAATCCAGAGCACTGCAACCTCCAATCTCATTAACACATTCAACCCATAGCTAAGCTAAGGGTATGTCTCCATACATTCAAGATGTTAAAGAATCAAGGGATTGTCAACCAAATATATCAACAGTAATTGGCAATCTTTAACAATCACAATACTATTGAACCAAAATGGTTTGAACCACCCCTCCCAAGGCTTCGTCATCCTAACACCGAACATAAGAATCACACTCCACGGTATAGCATGATGCACTTTAAGTCGGTCAATCGCACAAACACATCACAGTCTTGGGCCGATCATCACATCCGAGCAGGCCTCCTAAAAGCCCTCCTGGTAGGCCTTGGAGTCGAGCCTGGCCTGCAGGAGCTCTAGCTGCCTCCGTGCCTCGCACTGTGGGAAGTTGTTCAGCTCGTAGTACTGCGGAGCGATCTTCAGGAGCCACTCGGCTGTAATATAAATGTGACGGATTCAATTAAATAAAATTCAATAGACTGAACATAAACAAGTAAATATTTAATGATGACTCCGTGGCGCAATTGCCAAGGCATTGGCATCGGCGTCGGAGGTCGTGGGTTCGATCCCTTCGATAGTTGTTCCGCATCTGAGTGTTTGTCCACATGAAATTTGTGTTTGTAAAACATCCTTACAACACAGGATAATGTTATCCCAAAGTAAGGGCTATTATGTTTTTAAAAAAATACAAAAAGATAATACAATATAATTAAATATTCCCTTTTGCACAAAGGAAAATACAGTTTTTGCGTTAATTTAAAATGTTACGTTAGAGACTAAATTTGTCTTGATATGAGATACGGAAATATCACAACCTCCGGTAGAACAACATATAAGAAAGAAAAATTTGTTTCGTCGTTGGCTAGATGTTTTCAATATCCCTCACTAACCAAACTTAGTTGTTACACTTGTTGGGGCCATCTAACCAACTTGCCTTTTGAACAATAACTTCTATACAACTGACTAGCACAATAGACATTTAACCAATGTTGTGTAACATATGATTTGTTAAAGATAAATAAAAAGGTTCGCTACAACGCCATCAACAAGACGTTATTATTCTTGTTTACTAGCTAGAAGCAAAAAGCCAATGGGAATTAACAATGAATTTTTTATATATATCACACACCAGAATATCTTGCAGATGGCTGAATTTTTTCCTACTCAGTTGACACTTATCATTACCTATATTTTGAACAATTCACACAATCTAATGTATAAAATTCTCGTGTCACGGTGTTTGTAATTGAACTCCTCCGAACACCGACCGATTTTCGTGAAATTTTTTGTACATATCGGCCAGGGTGGAGAATTGGAAAACATCTATTTTTCATCGCCCTAAATGTTAAGGGTGGCCCCAAACATTTTTTTCTACCCTTTTTTAATTTATATGGCAAAACAACATTTGCCGGGTCAGCTAGTATCTCTATAAATTATAGCCTATGTGTTATTCTGACGAGTAAGTTATATTATAGAGAAGTTCATTAAAATCTATTCAGTAGTGTTTGCGCAAGAGTAACAAACATCCATCCATATATACAAACTTTCGCGTTTTTAAATATTAAGTAAGGATGTATACAGACGTAGAGATATTTATCGTTTTAACCATGAAAGCGGCTCAACGTTGACTCACGCTTTATGTCGGTGACGGTCCTGATGTAGTTCTTTGTGGTGAGCACAAACTCGTTGTATATGACCCAGTCGGGCTTGTGGTCGAGGCAGGTGGAAGGATGCAGTTGCACCACCTGGTTGTCTTTGACGGTCAGGTAGTGGCCGGTCCTCTCCAAGTGCGCGACCTGCGACGGATAACGTAAATAGAATTCTTTGGGGAGATTCTTTCAAAAAGACGGTTTAATTTTGGCAGGGCCACAAAGCAGCCTCGGCTGTTGCACGAATGGGCAAGATCGTCGTGGACCCGACCTCACAGAAGACCGGCGTAAAATAGAAGTATAATAGATTCGCGCTTCATCTGGCGAGTGAGGTAGCCCGAGCCCAATTGTTGCCGCCCACTTTTTGAGATAAGTTCAAATGAATGTAATTAATTACTTACGAGTGATTTTAAATACTTCTCATTTTTTATATAACATTATTTATGTCTAGAATTTAATTAAAAAAATGGATACACTTAGAAAAGCCTCCCTGTATTACAGAATTACATTATCCTACAGGAGAGGTTTACTAAATAAAAATATTGCTCTTATAAAATGATTCATATAGCAGTACCTGCATAAAGAAGCCGTTGACAAGAGCCTTCCTTATGTTAATGTAGTAGTCCTTGCTAGTGAACTCTGTACTGGTCCTCTTCAGGTTGAATCTGTGAGAAAACCACTTCCATATAAAAAAAACTTCAATACGAGATAAACATTGGAGGATAACTTCCATAAGAGATAAACATTAGACAATGGAAGAGTGAAGGGTCAAACTCGAGGTATTTTATTTATCGCAAGATGCTTCGCTGATGCAGCCGCTAAGCTATTTGCCTCGGCCGTGGCTCTTGGGTTCGATTCCCACATGGAACAGGTATTTGTGTGACCCACAGATAGTTATTCTAGATCTGATATGATAGATCTTCTAGACTGACAATACCATTAACATAATTCTAATGTGCCGACCTCATCAAGGTGGGATAAACGGGATAGAGGTGGAAACGGTAGGAGAAAGAAAATTATTCAATATATATTATACTCTCAACAAGATTAAATAAATTTAACATAAACTTTTGGGATTCGAACCTCAGTCTTCTGGTTTCGCGCCCGGACGCTTTACCAACTAAGCAAAGATCTAACGGCGCAAAAATCTCGACATCTATCTACGTTCTTTCTATTGCATTATTAGCGCCATGGCGCCATCTAGTGTGCAACATTTACAGTATACAACACCAATACGAATAAGATTCAATAAATATTATAATGTTTCTTTACTTTTTACTATCTTTTAACTTTTTTTTATGGAAGTTGCCATGTAGCTTCTTATAACAATCAATTCACTCTGGCAAGTGACAAGAGGGCCGGTTCCTTTATCGCTCGAAGGTACAAAAATGCAGCAAGTTTTCTTGACACCATGCCGCGTGGACCAGGTTTGTTAGATAATATGTAATTTAGATTGATTTACGCCCGGTTTGTGAAACACTGATCATCGGCAAATGGCTTTTCAAATGTTATTTAAGTTGCCAAAAGGATGTTTAAACGCTGCATTGATCAAAATGATCAATTCAAAGAGTTTAACCATCCATTGGCAACTCAAATGACATTTGACAGCTGATTAGTTAACTGTTGTAAGGAGATTCTGCTTGTCAATGTGTTGATGTAAACACGTTGTTGAGTGATTTTCGATTTAAACCTTTATCCCTTTGAGTCAAATACCTAAAATTGTTTGTTTTGTGAGTGTTTGGTGGTGGTTTCTGTGGTATTGGTAAGTGTTTTTAAGTTTACGTTCCACCCCAATTCCCCATGAGGGAATTGGGCGAAGACAAACCACCGGATGGGGGAGGAGGTCGCCCTCCCGATAATAAAATGGATACTAGTGACTCCATCGTCACAACGCACCCAAATATTAATACTAACCGTAAGCGACCGGCAGAAAATATAGAAACTTCCGACAAAAAAAAAGTGGTTCCACCCTCGACCTCTTATCAATCAATATACTCCAAAAAAGGTTACGAAAGTGACTCCAAACTAGGTTACAGCGACTATGACAAATCTCCATTCATTGTACACGTCACCAAATCTGAACCTGACTTGTCATCTGGCCTGCCAATCAGGCTACTTAAATTTGCACAACTTATACACAAAAACAAAGTGCCGGGTATAGCAGAAGGAGGCATAAATACACTAGGGAGAAACAAGTTTTCAATTGAATTTAAATCTTACTCAGAGGCTAATAAATTCCTGTCTAATGATTTTCTACCTACAAATAATTTTAATGCTGTTATTCCAAGATTCCATATTACTCGCATGGGAGTGGTCAAAAGTATTCCTACTGACTGGACACTTGAAGAATTGTTAGAGAACATTAAGACTCCCTCCAATTGCGGAGAAGTTATTAGGGCTCGCCGACTTAATACAAAACTAAGAACAGATGATAAAATTACCTGGGTTCCTTCCACCACTGTAGTCCTTACATTTTTGGGCCAAACTCTTCCTGAAAGAGTATACTGCTATCAATCATCCCTTCCAGTCTCCACATATCAACTACCTACTATTCAATGCAGAAACTGTTGTAGATTTGGACACATTGGGTCCCAGTGCAGGTCTAAACCAAGATGCTATCGCTGTGGGCAGAGTCACACTGGAGATAACTGTACTATCAGTGAAATCAATTCCTCTTGCATATTGTGCAATGGAAATCATAGGGCAACTGATTCCAAATGTCCTGAGCATTCTAGACAAAAGTCCATTAAAATTGTGATGTCTCAGGACAATATAAGTTATTCAGAAGCCGCTCTCAGGTTTCCCCCTTCCAGACGTCCCTATGCTGACATGGCCAGCTCTTCCCCTCAACATCATTATCCGCTTCAAAAATCCCAACAATCTCAGTCATTTCAATTATCTCGGCAAACTACCTATCCCCTACTTTCTTCTCCACAATCCAACACCCAGACCGCTTACTCCAAAACCCTGTCTAAATCTCCACGCCCCGTAACTTCTCTGGGCAAGACCTATGATGTCTCAGCCCACCAAAATATAATAAGCTCTCCTCAGTCATCACAACCTAATGGTTGTGCTTTATCCTCTCCCTTCATAGAGTCCACCCCAATGCTTACCCCCAATGACAACCTCATTGAACTTCTTACCTGCTCCCTAATAAACATTATATCCAAATTTTCAGATGCCTTACCGAACAATGTCATTACCCTACTTCAACAACTGCTCGAACGCTTAATTACCAAAAATGGCGACAATTCTTCAGTGGAATTGTAGAAGCATTCGCCACAAAAAACACGATCTTATTTCATTAATTAACCGTTTTAAACCCATTGTCCTTGCTATCTCGGAGACTTGGTTGAGACCAAGATCCATCTTTAGGCTTCCAGGTTATTCGTGCCTCCGAGATGACAGGGATGATGGCAAGGCAGGTTGTGCCCTTATAGTTTCAAGATCCATCACCTTCTCACAAATCCATATTCCTAACCACAGTCCTGATCTTCACATAGTCGCAATTAAATCTCAAAATATTTCTTACATTTCTTGTTATATCCCTCACCCTAATAGCATTGTCATTACTGAATTAAGTAGTATTCTTTCCACTATCCCTGGCCCTCTTCTTGTTTCTGGAGACTTCAATTGCCACCATCATATGTGGGGGTCCCATCATGTAGACACTGCTTCTTCCTTCCTATTAGATTTATTAGATGATAATAATCTCTGTATTTTAAATAATGGATCTGCAACACGAAGAACCCCACCTGGGCAGAACTCCAATGCCCCTGATTTAACCCTTTCTTCCCCTTCCCTAGTTAATTCTCTTTCTTGGTCTATTTTACCTAATTCTTATGGCAGTGATCATTTCCCCATCTTAATCCAATCTCTTCAAAATTCTCCCTCTCTTCCTACTATGCCCCCTTTACAACGATTTAGATTATCTGATGCTGACTGGAATAAATTTTCTATTAATTTAGATTCTAAAATACTCCATCTCCCTCCTCTCAACTCATCTAATTTTTTGGCTTTATATAATGAATTTGTCTCATGTATGATTTCAGCAGCTGAAGAGTCTATACCGTTAAAAAATTCATTCCGTGGGCGCATCCCCTCTCCTCCTTGGTGGGATTCTGAGTGTACCGCTTCTATTAGAGCTAGGAACAATGCTGAGAAAAAATATGCCTGCAATCTAAACATGGAGAACTACCTTGACTTTAAGAAAACCTGTGCTAAAACTAAAAGGTTTTTAGCTAAAAAGAAATCTGAAGGTTGGCGTAGGTTCTGTGAGTCCTTGTCTCCCTGTACTTCCATTTCTATTGTGTGGCAAAAAATTACCAATTTCCGGGGAACTTTCATTGATCGTAATACCTCTTCCAATGATCCTTCTACTTGGTTAGATAATTTTGTAAACATACTAGCCCCTCCTTTTGTTCCTTATTATGACTGTTTACCCATTCCCTATATCCCTTCTTCTGTACCTGATAGATGAATGACCTTTTCTCCTATTCTGAGCTTTGTTGTGCTCTTGACAACCTCAAAGATTCCTCTCCAGGCGTAGACGGTAGTCCTTATTCTTTTATACTTAAATCTTCATGCTCTTCAAAATTATTTTTTCTCAATATTATTAATGAAATCTTTTCTTCTGGGTCAGTCCCAAATCCGTGGAAGACCCACATAGTTATTCCAATTTTAAAACACAATAAGGATCCTAATAACCCTACATCCTATCGACCCATTGTCTTACCCTCTGTATTGGCTAAAATCTTAGAACACCTTATAAAAAATAGACTTGAGTGGATTCTCGAAAACAGAGGTCTACTGTCAAGTAGCCAATACGGATTTAGGCGTGGCATGAGCACAATGGACAGTCTTAGCGTATTCACATCTGAAATTAGGCTTGCTTTCTCTCGCAATAAACATGTCATTGCAGTCTTCCTTGACATCTCCTCGGCCTATGATAATGTCCAGCTTCCAATACTCAGGCAGAAAATGCTTAAACTGAGTATCCCTGTGAGACTGGTTAATATAATCTTTAATTTATTCTCATGTCGCTCTATATGTCTTCGCTCTTCTGGCTCTATCCTTCCCCCACGTCTTGTCTGGAGAGGCCTTCCCCAGGGTTCTGTTCTAAGTCCCCTATTATATAATCTGTATACTTCCGACCTTGACACGACCGTTAACTCCTTCTGTAAAATTCTCCAATATGCGGATGACATTGCCCTCTACACCACTTGCTCCTCTCTTCCAGAAGGATGCTCACAATTAAACACTGCTTTACACTACTTAAATATTTGGCTTTCAGATCACAGTCTAAATTTATCCATTCCGAAATGTCACGCTGTTACTTTTACTCGAAAACGTCATATCCCCTCGTTAAGTCTCTTGGTGGAGGGTGAGCGTATCTTGTTTCAAGATCGAATCAAATTTTTAGGGGTCATTCTAGACTCAAAGATGTCTGGTACATACCACTTACAGTATGTACATAATAAGTGTGAAAAAAGTATAAACATACTAAGAGCTTTATCCGGAGTTCGTTGGGGATCTCATCCTTTCTCCCAGAAATTACTATATAACGCAATTGTACGTAGTCATTTTGACTATGGTAGCTTCATACTAGAGCCATGTAGCAAGCTAGCTCTTAGAAAGCTAGATAAAATACAGTCCAAATGTCTACGTATAATTGCAGGCGCTATGAAATCTTCCCCTATAAATGCCCTCCAAGTTGAGTGTGTTGAACCTCCTTTATTTCTTCGTAGACAATTTCTAGCTGACAGATTTTTCTCCAATGCTGTTCAGTATCCCTCTCATCCTGTATTAAAAACGTTACATCTCCTTTCCCGTTCCATCAATTCTTCCTCATATTGGTCCAACAAAACTCCCCCATTGCTGGTTAATAGCCTCAATGCATATAAAAACCTGTCATCTCCTATCCTCCAATTAGAAAACCACCCTCTTTACACAACTAACTATGATGCTCTTATTTTCCAACCAAAAATCATTTTAAACCTTGGGTTAAATAAAAGTTCAATAGATGCCAATACCCATTTTAAAACAATAATAAAGAATGAATGGAAGGACTGGGTTCTGATATTCACAGATGCTTCCAAATCAGAGAATTCCCACGTAGGTGCCTCAGTCTTCATTCCAAAATATAATGTTGTTTTAAGCTTTAAATGTCCCATGGAATGCTCTGTTTTCACTGGCGAGTCAATAGCTATTTTGGAAGCCATTAAATATATAGATGCTAACCAAACCCACTTCAGTAAATCTTTGATATTAAGTGACTCATGTAGCTGTTTGGAAGACTTGAGGAAGCTCCCATTTCATAGTAAATTTAACTCAGTATATACCTTGAGAGCTAAAGAAATATTGTGTAGTTTGGAAAAAGCCGGTGTCAAGATTGTGTTAGCATGGATCCCAGGTCACTTGGGTATCTGGGGGAACGAAGCCGCCGACTCTTATGCTAAACAAGCTGTTCAGATAGGTTACACTTGTCACTCAAGTATCCCCGCCCGTGACCTACGCTCCTTGGCTAAGCCATGTCTAATGAAATCTTGGAATAATTTGTGGCAACGCTCTAAATTGATAAAAGGTAAATATTATGGTAATATTCAGCCAATTATTCCATCAAGACCTTGGTTCTTTAAATATAAATTATTAGATAGGATGATTACCTCTATGATCATACGTCTTCGATTAGGACATGTTTGCTCCCCAGTTTTTTTGGCTAAACTCCATATACGCGACCACTCAATTTGCCAGTGTGGCCTGGCTGAGGGTACATTAGAACACCTATTTTTTTCTTGCCCAAACATTGTAACCCCTCTCTATGATATTCTCCCTCACAACTTTCCTAGGCCTGTTAATATCCCATTCCTTTTAACTCTTACTGAATCCCCTTTTATCAAAGTTTTATACAAATTCCTTCGTAGCAATAACATCAAGCTCTAACCCCTATTCCTCCACTCTTTTCCTTGGTTAATATTGTTTTTCTTTATCTCTTTTTTAAATATTGTCCTATAGTATCGTCCTTAACTACTTACTTTTTTAATTTATCATATTTGAATAATTATATATAAACTAACTTATTGTTTTGTCCTCATTCAGGTAACTCAACCGGATATGTGTAATTGTCTACCTACTTTTTAAAAGTCAATATTACCGACTAATTATATCAGTAACTCTTTGTTTTATTCAACCTTGACATTGGCAGAATCATCAAGTTATATGTTGATGGAGCCATAAACCTAAAATTGGAATTGGAATTGGAACTGTTGTAAGGCCACGCAGCAGCCTCGGTATTCACTTAACATCAGGTGAGCCGCCTGTTCGCTTGGCAACTTTCCTACAATAATCAGTGTTTCTTAAACCGGACCGTTAATATTGTAAATATTGGATATATTAAGGTTATTTCATTTACCCTTTCTCTTATTCACTTCCATTCATCTTCCACCGATATTACTTCAGTTGCATACCTATCCATGATCCTGCTCAGCTGCTGGCGAACGTTGTCACCGGACTTGAGCGATCTGTAGTTGATGAAGTTGTCGTAGCACCAGTGAGGGTCCTCCATGTCTGGAAAGGTTAAGTGCGAGTTCGAATTAATAATAGATGGTCACCATCACCATCATCATCGGCCGCAAGACGTCCACTGCTGAACATAGGCCTCCCCCTTAGAACGCCACTTTGCCATTTGCATCCACCGGTTGCACGCGACTCTTATGTCGTCGATCCACCTAGATGGTCACCATAAATATCTCCGACTTATTTTTAGGGTTCCATACCTAAAGGGTAAAACGGGACCATATTACTAGGACTCCGCTGTCTACCTGTCTGTGTGTCACCGGGCTGTATCTCGTGAACCGTGATAGTTAGACAGTTGAAATTTTCCAGATGATGCATTTCAGTTGCCGCTATAACAACAAATACTAAAAAACGTAATAAAAATTATTTAAATGATAGTACAACAGACATGATTTTATTGCCGTTTTAATAGATATATATAATGTTACAGAACCCTTCATGCGCGAGTTTGACTCGCACTTATTTAGTTTAGCTTTGCATTATCAATGCAGGTATTCAAGATCAAGAACAGCGCTCAGCCTAGTGTGGAGGTCAGTTCGTAAGGCATATATCGATTAATCAATTTCTAGATTAAATAAAATTGTAAAAGTATGCTTGTGTGTTAAAGGCTAATATAATGTCAGTGATTATTTAAATGATAACACACCCTGGAAATGAAGTGATCGCTCCGGGCTCTTTCAAGTTGACTTCAATACATTTGTAAACATGTCTTTTTTTTGATAAATAATTTAAAAAAAAAATTCTGCTGAGTTTCTTTCGCCGGTTCTTCTCAGGTCAGTGGCTTTTCTTACCGAACCAGTGGTAGCGTCTTGACAATCAATAAGTAAGTGTAATGCTTTTATATTGAATAAAGGTATTTTGATTTGATATAATATAGGAGTTTTTTGGAAATAAAGTAATTTGTATTTGTATTTTTGTATTTAGGTATTCAAGAGTTTTTTTATTAGTTGGGTCAACGGTCCGACATTTTTAGCCTATTAAAGACAGTGCGTTGGCAGGCCTTGAGTGTTTCACTAGTAGTCTGTGCTATTTCATATGTGACATTGGCGACGCGTTCTGCCCGCGTCTAACCACGAAATGCAATGGTGGAAGATATTCGGGACGACCCGAATGGCGTAGTCGGTAGTGTACCTGCCTTCTGCGCCAGAGGGTGTGGGTTCGATCCCCACTACTGGAAAAATATTGTGTGATGAGCATAGTGTTTTTCTAGTGTCTGGGTGTTTATATATGTATAATGTGTATTTATTTACAAAAGAAAAGTATGTTTAAGTATGTCTATCAGTTTTCTAGTACCCATAGTACAAGCATTGCTTAGTTTGGGACTAGAGAATGTTGTGTAAAAAAAAAAAGAAAGAAAGTGTCCTAAATTTATTATTTATTTGGAACGCGAATTACTCAATGCTTCATTGTGAAGGGTACAAATGTGTCAAGGATGACGAATGAGTAAAAAGTCGATACAAACACCATTAAACGCAATTTTCTTTCAAATGCCCACCCAGAGGTCATACGAAGCGCAGATGTAATTTTTATTATTAGGGCTACTTAATTAAATCTACTTTACTTTAGTTTCAGGAATTGGTGGTCTATAAACTTTATAAGTAGTGTGAGTAAATTCTTATTGATGGTAAAAATAAAATACATTAAAATAACAATTGAGTGTTCGCCTACTATGAGAAGCAAATCCGACCCTGAACCCGAGTGATCGGAGTAAACACTCACTCTGTTTGAACGCGTGGTAGACGTTCAGAAGCGTTAGATGGTCACCGTCAATGTGTGCGAAGCGCATCTTCGCGTCGTCGGCCGCCTTCCGCGCCTCGTTGGGCCTCACGAAGCACTGCGGAACTGAAAATAGCAAAGTGATTGGTGAACAAATAATTCGGGCAAATGTTTATTTATATAAAATAGATATAATAAAATAATTGAGCCGTGGCAGCTGAGTGTCCGGGCGCTCGCCTGTAATTCAATATACTCGAGCAAACCGAGTTCGATGCCCGGTGCCTGTTAATTTTTAGTGCTGATTTATCACGTGCGCAGCGGTGAAGGAAAACATCGTGAGGAAACCTGCATATTTTAGAAATAATAACAAAAAAAATATTTCGAAGATATGTGAAGTCCGCCAATTCGCAGTGGGGCCGCGTGGTGGACTATGCCCTGATACCCTCTGTATAGAGGAGGCCTTTACCCAGGAGTGGGACGTGTATAGGTTGACTATGTCTTAATATAATCTGTACAGAAGAGACTCTTGCAGCAGTGGACACTGGACTGTCGACATTAATAAATATGCAATTAACAATTAACAACAGCGCGATTTTTAACGTTATTTTTAGCGTGTCGTTACCACCGCGACAATAAATGACACACATATAGATGATAACTTTATAAAATTGTATTAAACATTAACATTCTTTAAACATCAATATTTACAGAGTTATTAAATTTTCCAAAACAAACAATTTTAGAACACCATTACTTATAAAACTGTAACGTAAAGTTCACTTGTAAAGGTCACAAAGCATATGAATGGGTTGAATGAATTTAAAATAGACAAAACATACTGTTAGAAGGAGAGGCTTGTATTGCGGCGGTGTGTCGCGAGTTGTATAGGACTGTATAGGATGTTACAAATTTTGTTTCTTTTTTACTTAATTAGTTTCTTTGAAAAATATATTTTTTTAAATTATGGATTTTGTTTAAAGTTAACATTTTTTTATGATGGCAAGTAGCGTTAGACGTGTGTTCATTTATTTTCGCGATGGTAACGACACGCTGTATATGTTCAGCTTTTAGTCATAAAATATTTGATCCAAGAAAACTTTTTCTTTTTAAAAAATATTCACCGTAATTTTTATGTAGTTTATTATAGGTAGACCATTGATATTGATGATGAGGTGGCTTTCACTGTGGCGGTCTAAGGAGGCCTTTGTTCAACAACAGTGCATGTCTCACTGCTTATAATGATGACAACTATTTATTATTATCCTCACAAACTAATATGGCATTTATTACCAATTAATTGACCATTGAATCATCAAGTAACGGTGGTAGGGCCACGCAGCAGCCTCGGCTGTTGCACGAATGGGCAGGCTCGTCCGGGTAAGTACGTCGACCTCACAGAAGACCGGCGTAAAGTGGAAGTATAATAATTTCGCGTTTCGTCTGATGAGTGAGGTGGCCGGAGCCCAATTTTCAAAAGGTTGTCAACGCAACTGCAACCCTCAGGTGTAGCGCATGTCCATGGGCGGCAGTATTCACTTAACATCAGGTGAACCGTCTGGTCGCTTGGCAACATTTCACATAAAAAAAAAAGTTATTCCTCGATGGAGCCATAATATTAAAATTGGAATTGAACCATGTATAGGGCCAAGATACATGGAAAAACTGCCAACGGGCAATGTTTAACTGTATATTGGGGTATGGAGAAAAATGACTGTAAATAGCCAACTCACCGGACAACATGGCCGTGATGGAGAGTATCTCGTTGGAGCAGTTGTGGTTGCAGCTGGCGATCAGCATCTTGGCGAGCTGGGGGTCCAGGGGGAATTCCGCCATCACGGCGCCCAGGTCGGTCAGGTTCCCGTCGTCGTCTGGAGTGGGAAACGAAGCGAATGCAGCGGGAATTATACAGCAATGGTAGGGGCCGTCCATTAATCACGTAAGGCTCGGAAGGCGGTATGGGGTCTGGCGGGGTACGGGGGGGGGGGGGGGGGGGGGGGGGGGGGTTTGTAGTAAGATATACATATAGTGTTTTTATTTTTTACTCAAACGCGCGATTTCTAAACCGAAAAGCAGTGTGTAGAGTTACATTGATTTGCCGTTACATTTTATCATAGTCCGCAATTTCAGAGTATAATTAGATTCTACTCTAAATCTATATCTATAGTAGTTCTAAAAATTTTAAGATCCCCTGTAGGTACTAAAATTACACGTGATTTTGGGTAAGGGTGGGGGGCTGGTCTTAAACCTCACCCACCAAGGGAGACGGGGTTAAAAAATGCAATAATGCCTAATGCGGTATCATCATTATCGTCATCATTTGTATATAAAATACACAAATTAACTAAAGAGGTTATATGTTGTTATAAATACACTAGCGACCCACCCTGGCTTCGCACGGCTACAAAGTATTATACATATAAACCTTCTGCTTGAATCACACTATATAGTAAAAAAAACCGCATCAAGATAAGTTGCGTAGTTTTAGATCCAAGGATACATAGGTCAGACAGACAGCAGGACGACTTTGTTTTACACTATGTAGCAATGAATCTAGTGTCAATTTTCTCTTTTTTTAAAAAACACCTCGCCCTCACTTTAAGATAACATTATCCTGTTGTAAGGACATTTTACAAACATAAATTAGCACGAGGACAAACACCCAGATGCGAAACAACTATCTGTGGGTGGCACAAATAGTTGTGGGAATCGAACCCACGACCGCCGACGCCGAAGCCGATACCTTGGCAACTGCGCCACGGAGTCATCGAGTTGATTCAATCATCGAGGAGAATTAGTTGAAATGTTTAGTTTGTATCATAAACACATGAACTTAGTGTCAATTGGTGGATGTAAATTTCACTCACCAAGCGCTGCGAGGTAGTTCAACAGCTCCAGTGCCCTCATCAGGGTCTCGGGAGCTGGCGGGTCCATGAAGTCAAAGTGCACCAGATCGTCGATGCCCAGCTTTTTCAACTGCAAAACTACAGATCCTAAGTTTGATCTGCAACGCAATGCGGGGCCAGGCATTAGACTGTGCTGATAAATCCACATGGCATACGGGGTTTTGTGTTTACAATGGTGGTAGTGCAACTATAACGGATGATGCCTACGCAGTTTCTCTCGCCTAGTTCTTCTCCGTTAGAAGAACTTCATTATAGAACGGTGGTAGATTTAAGAAATGACTATAGATACAAGAAATATACATTTCTTACTTCGATGAATAATAACCCTTTATCAAATAAAATAAAATATTTTATTACAAAACATTTTATTTTATTTGATAAGGGGTCATAAATACAAACTTACAATGGTCTGCAGTGGATTGTCCGTTTAAAAGCTGTCCCAATTTATATATGCAATCAATCTAATGAAATGTTGAATGTGTGCAGACTAAACATTAGCGCTAAGTGTTTCGTGGCGCAGTTGCCAAGGTATTCACTTCGGAGCCGGGGGTTCGATTCCCACACGAGACAAATATTTGTGTGACCCAGATAATCGTTTTGGAACTGCGGTTTCCACACGAACATTATGTATGATAATTTAATCCCACAGTATGGGGGCAATGTTTTGGAAAGAAAGATCTTTTTACCCGACCGCGCCAGAAGGAGGGTTATGTTTTTTGAGAGTATGTATGTATAATTGTTTAGCACTCTCTGCAGCCTGGAGGGCTTGATGGATTTAAGCTTGAGAGGTGTCGTTTGATTCGTATTTACTGTGAGAGTGACGCTGGGTATATCGAAATAAAAAATTACACAGAAACGCATTCGGGTTTTTTAAATTATATGCCACTTGTTAAGTTGGTTACGTGGTTGTTGGAATTTACTATACAGCCTCATGTAAAGAGCCTCCTCCGTATAGTGTTGGGCATAGTCCACTACGCGACCCTACTGCGGATTAGTGTACTTCACATATCTTCGAATTTTTTTTTGAAAATTTGCAGGTTTGCTATCGAAGTTTTCTTTCGCCGCTGATCGCGTGATATTTTCATTTCATTGTTAATTTTAAGTGCTGAAATATTACATGTAAGTCAGTATATTAACAGTTTCATTGTTAATTGCAAGCGCTTAATTATCAACGACAATGACGATGATACAGTGAGGATCGAAATCAGGTTGTTCGGGTGTATTGAATTAAGTGAGCGCCCGGAAAGTAAGCTATCAACTCTAGTGGTACGTGCGATAATAAATTTGACCAACGGTAAACTCAATACCACACGCTGTTAGGATTTCAACTCGTAAGTACAATTTTAAGTCCAAATGAGGAAAGGAAACAAACGAGGCATATACTAAACCATTCCCATCCAGTCACCTCAGAATTTCTGGATATGTGTTGTCTTGCATCTCATTCTTGTAGGCCTTCTCTGTGTAGAGCCTGAAGCATTTCCCGGGACGGGTTCTGCCAGCGCGACCGGCCCTCTGCTGAGCTGACGCCTTGCTGATCGGGGACACCAGCAAGGATTCAACCCTGATACGAGGGTTGTAGACCTTCTGCTTAGCAAAACCAGGGTCTATCACGAACACTACGCCGTCTATGGTAAGCGAGGTCTCGGCGATGTTTGTGGACACCACGACTTTCCTCCCGATCGCACCATTGGCTCGGTTCGGGGGTGCTGGTTCAAAGATCCTCTGTTGTAGGTTGGGCGGCAGGGTGGAATATAGGGGAATACATTTAAGCTCCCCTGCCTCGGGACCGAGATTGTCAATCTCTCTCTTTATTCGCTTGCAAGCATCTTCTATCTCCTCTTGGCCAGTGAGGAACAGTAGAATGTCTCCAGCTATCTCCTCGCACAAATGTATCTGAATAACAGTTCTTATCGCTGCCTCCAAGTAGTCCCTCTCTGGTTGCGGCGTGTAGAAAATCTCCACTGGATGGGTCCTACCAGGGACATTCATCAGTGGAGCATTGTCGAAGTACTGCTGGAACTTGCCCGCATCTAATGTAGCTGACATAATGACTAACTTCAAATCGGATCTTTGCTTGATAACCTCCTTCAACACACCCATGAGGATGTCCGTTGCCAAGGTCCTTTCATGAGCTTCGTCAAGCAATATCACTCGGTATTGTTCCAGCATGGGGTCCGACATAGCCTCTCTCAGCAACATACCATCTGTCATGTACTTGAGAACTGTCTGTGGGCCAGAACAGTCTTCAAAACGGATGCTGTAGCCAACCTGCTGCCCCAACGCCACATCCATCTCCTCCGCCACTCTCTGAGCAACTGACATGGCTGCCACCCTCCGGGGTTGGGTGCATGCAACCCCCGTAGACTTGCCGGCTGTGACTGCAGCAAATTCCACAGACCATTGCGGTATTTGAGTGGTCTTCCCAGACCCTGTTTCACCCACAAGTACAACGCACTGGTGAGTGTTAAGCAGCCGCATGAAGTCATTCTTGTACTCCCAAACAGGGAGCCCCAGGCGCCGCCGCAGCAGCTCATGATACCGCGGAGAGTGCGGCAGACCTGAAAAAGTAACTTGTTCTATAGGAGCTATATTCTATAATAGTTTTTGATTATTGATAAATATTACAGATACAATTATTAGTATTAAATTCAATCTTCTTTGATTAATAAAATTCTGCCATTAAACTTGATAACAAATGTATTTTATACATTACAACTTTTAGCAATTATCCATTCATATCTTATAAGTGAATCTTGTAAAATTTGGTGAAGTAATCAATACTCTTATTTTCATTTTAACATCTAATTCTAAGGTGTACAGATAAACTTTCAACTTTTATGTATGTTAAATAACTAATACGGATAATTTAATCACTGTGACTATAAATTACAATTAAACAGATCTAATAAATGAAAGATATTCTTTTGATAATTTGAAGTAAGAAGTTTTTAAACTAATCTCTTTGGCACAAGGTCAAAGGAATATATATTTCAAGACTGAGAAGTTGCTGATGATGTCTACAAACCTGTGAACTGATTGATCCCTGGAGTGCTTTGTGTTGGTGGCATTGCTGTTGTGAGTGCTGAAGTGTTATCCGAAGTTGATTCACCAGCGCTGCTGGACTTGGCGGCAGCGGCTGCTTTTTCCTCCCTGTAATCAAAAACATCATGTTTAATTGCCAAATTGAAAATATCAAATACTCATCATTAAGATAAAGTAGATAGTAAATTAAGATGTAAGTTGCTTTATGCTGGCTTATTAAGTTAAATAAAGCTTTGAATGACTTAAAATGTTACACTTACACAACATTACTCAATAAAGATTCATATTTTGTTGACTGTAGGGTTATGTTCTATTTAATTAAAGACTAATGCAGTGATTCTCAACCACTGTGCCGCGGCACTTTCGTGTGCCGCCAAATTGCAAAAGTGTGCTGCCAAATTTTGCAAATAAATAATAATGTTAATATTATTAAATTATATCATTTAAAAAGAAAACAATTTTTTGGCATTAGCCAACATTAAAACTAAAAAAAGATCAAGATTGTTAAATGTAGAAGACAATATGAGAGTAGCATTGTCATTTTTACGACCAAATATAAATGAAATTATCAAAAAACATCAAGCTCAAATTTCGCATTAAAAATATTTTTATTATTAGCTTGTAATTAATCCCTTAATAAACGTTTAGTTATTATTGTAATATACGTTAGTTTATTTCGTATATTTAAAATTTTTATCATAAACTATTTATGCAGTGTGTTGTAGTAAGTAAATAATTTTTAACTTTTTCTTTGTGTGCCGCCAAATTTTGAAATCGTTTAATATGTGCCGCAACAAAAAAAAGGTTGAGAATCACTGGACTAATGTAATGTAAATAATCTGTGATAGACATGAATATGTAGTGCACAGGAGAAAAATTTGTGGAGTTGCAGAAGAAAACTTAAAGCATTCCTATTTATTTTATTATTTTTCGGAACCTGATTATCAAGGCTAATCCGTAAGACAAAATTAAGATACTTCCGTAAGCGTTCTTCGTTATTCAATAAAGATAATAATAAATTTATATTTTATTTATGGACCCGAATAGATTTTGCTTGATCTTGATCATTACATAAACCTATAATAGGAAATAAGTAAATCTCTGGGGATTATTGATGCATGAAATAATATGAAAAGAATTATTCATTGTACTACAATACTTTTCTAAACGTCGACAAAACTAATTATGTTTGGTAATTATTTTCAGTTTTCATGTCTTATGATGTATGTGTAGCTAATTACAATCAATGAAATGAATTTATTCAATATAAACCTTAAGGCGGCATTTTAAAAACAATGGGAACAAATGGCAAATAACATAAAGCATGGCATTGGTAACACGTCGATAAACATGTGGTACGGACCTTTTTCTCTTAATAAATGGGTCCAATACTTCGATTCTTCTCTTAGACATTTTTTAATGCACACATATAACACTCAAACAGAATGATAAACGACAAAATACACGGAAAGCTTAATATACGAAATAGCCAACAAAATGGCGACCGATTGGTGCACCAAACCACAATAAAGTTACGTTTTTCAATTCTACATGGTACAGTCTAAAATCACTACAATTATACCGTAGAATGGAACGTTACTATGGAATTAAAGTCTTCAATTAATTGTAATCAAAACTATTGCCAACCGCAACGAACCAAATAATTTACTGTAATTTTATTTTAGTTCATGTATTTAAATACTTTTTGTTTTGCTTATTATACTTAAAAAGTTATTCAAATGATAATTTTTTAATGATATAATACTAAAGGGCTTTACATTCTTAACCTTTTATCATTTTCTAAAGAAAAAAGGCAAGTTCCATTTGACGCAAGAATGTTAATCAAAAAATTCAAGTCCCGTTTTAATAAACTATTGCTTAAAAATAATAATGAAAAGCAGATGAATATTTTATACCTGGATTTAATTAAGATTTAATTTTAATTAAAATATGTAGAAAAAGCAAAGATTAGCACTATAAACAATTTAAATTTCTAAAAGATTTAATTTTACTAACATCCTTATAAAGTGCCGAATATGAATACGATTATGATGTCATAATTGGGTGTGGGAATATTTGAACTGATACTTTATATACAGCGTGTCGTTACCATCGCGACAATAAATGAACACACGTCTAACGCTACTTGCCAATAATCATAAAAAAATATTAACGTTAAACAAAATCCATAATTAAAAAGAAAATATTTTTCAAACAAACTAAAAACGTCACAGCGTCGTATTACAAGCCTCTCCTTCTAACAGTATGTTTTGTCTCTTTTATTTTCACTCAACCCATTCATATGCTTTGTGACCTTTACAAATGAACTTTACGTTACGCTTTTATAGGTAAGGGTGTTCTAAAATTCTTTGTTTTGGAAAATTTTATAACTCTGTAAACATCGATGTTTAAAGAATTTAAATGTTTAATACAACTTTAAAAAGTTATCCCCTATATGTGTGTTCATTTATTGTCGCGATGGTAACGACACGCTGTATATATATTTTTTTTGGGCTGAGATGAGCCACTGTTGGCCTTAGGGGCCTTTACAGTTTAGACAGAATAAAGAAAGAAAGAAAGAAAATGAAGATGTGGCGACTCATTTGCTACTGTGTAGCACCGCTCTTATCTTTTACACCCTTACTCTCATCGGTCTAGCATTACCCTATTATTGACAAATTTCTATAGCAACGAGTGACAATAAAAGATGATGTTTTTCTCAACACGGCTTGTTCTTTGTACTGCATCTTAATTATTCCCTCCTGCCGGCTCCCAAACTGGTGACCCCGACGTGATGTGATAAATATGCGCAACATCGGAGCCCACGTCGCTACGCTCTGCAGTTTCGCTCGGAAACAACAATTTCCGCGATAATCGAGGTTTGTTCCATTCTGCGACGCCGCCTAGGTACGCTTCCTTCTTTTTGTTTTTCCCTCCGTGCAGAGAAGTCTGCTAGGGAGACTAGAAAAGCCACCTGCGAGTGAGACTATGGTATAGCCTGCGAGGGAGATTGTACAGAACAGCCATGAAGCTATAATCGCAACAACTGTAAACGCATCTACGATAATCTACATCGCTATTGGACTCGTATTTTGTCCATTCTATGTAGCGCTGAGCCGGCATTTTTCGCATCGAGGCCAGCCATTTTTCTTTCTCTACCAGAGCTACGTCATCTTTGATGAGGAGGAAGTTGAAAAGCGCGCCACGCGCGGCAATCACCCGCAACATTGTGTCAGGTGACTAACAGCTCTCCACTGATACTTCGCGACGGATGCTGCGTTACACTCGTTCAAGTGAAAGTTTAGTGCTATTTTACACTTAAGATAGTATCATTTTATGTTGTATTTAGACTTACTTTACTTTTCTACCAATTTTATTATTACGTTTGCTGCGCAATACTGAAATTGTTTCGTTTGTGTATTTACCGATTTGTTCCACTGGTGTATGTGTAAAGCATTTTTGCGATTTGACCGTTTCTGATTTTACCTTTAAACCATGGCGAGTCAAGGAGAATCTAACGTTTCAGAGGGCCACATTGGCAACGAGGGTGATGCTACTGCACTAGTCGGTGGCAGCCCCATTTACGTAAACAGGGTCGCAATTAGGACCCCGCCTTTTAGCAAGGATCGGCCCGCATTGTGGTTTGCTAGCCTAGAGGGGCAGTTCCACATTAACCAAATTACCGTCGAAATGACGAAGTTTCATTTCGCCGTGGCGCATTTAGATACCGAGTGTACGAAGGAGGTCGAAGATATTATCACACATCCTCCCGAGTTGCAACCCGACTGCCTACCCGACTGCCGTAGCGGCACACTGCGCGATGAGCTTACAAACTTATCCGCATATTGTTGTAACCGCAATATAATGCAGCCAAGTATTAGGACCGTAAAAAAACCGTCTCGCGATTCCCTGTTCAATCAACTCTTTTTAGACTTTCCGGAAGTGACGCGCCCACCTACAGCTGACCGTCAAATAAAACACAGCACTGTTCACTATATAACGACAACTAGTGGGCCGCCTGTCACGTCGCGTCCTCGTCGACTAGCACCCAACAAGCTAAAAATTGCTGAGAAGGAATTTAATGACATGGTGTCGGCGGGTACTGCTCGCCCATCTAAAAGCCCCTAGTCCCCTTGCGGTGACTACAGGCTCTTAAACGCTCGGACAGTTCCCGATCGGTACCCTGTGCGTCATATAGGAGACTTCAGTCATAATCTGGCTGGTTCTACTATATTTAGCACATTAGATCTGGTAAAGGCCTACCAGCAGATTCCGGTAGCTGGTCCAGATGTTTGCAAAACGGCCATAATAACGCCATTTGGTCTTTTCGAGTTTCCCTATATGTCATTTGGGTTACGCAACGCAGGCCAAACCTTCCAGCGTTTCATCGATGAGATCTTGCGCGGACTAGACTTCGCTTTTCCCTACATTGACGATATTTTGGTATTCTCACGGGATGCTGAAGAGCACGCCAAACACCTGCGCATAATCCTGCAAAGACTGGTGGACTATGGCGTCGTTGTCAATGTGGATAAGTGCGTATTGGGGGCATGTGAGGTAATCTTCCTAGGTTATAAGATAACCAAGGATGGTATCTGCCCACCTGAAGAGAAGATCGCTGCTCTCCGCGAGTTATCGCTTCCCAAAACAGCTCAAGGTTTGAGACGGTTCCTGCGGATGGTAAATTATTACCGCCAATTTCTTCCCAAAGCCGCCAAGCTGCAAGCTCCACTTGTGGATTTTTTAACAGTTAGCAACCTAAAAGGTTCAAAAGCTGTGCCCTGGACGGCAGACTTGGAGCGTGCTTTCTACGAGTGTCGCGAAAGTCTCTCAGAGGCCACCATGCTTGTACATCCGCAACGAAATGCTCGTTTAGGGTTGTACACGGACGCCTCCAGCACTCATGTCGGCGCTGCCTTACAGCAAAGGTCTGATCAAGGCTGGCAGCCGTTGGCATTCTTTAGCAAAAAGTTAACACAGAGCCAAAGTACATGGCCCGCGTATTACCGCGAACTTCTCGCAGTGTACGCGGCCGTACAGCATTTCCGGCATATACTAGAGGCACAACACGCGACAATCTACACGGACCACAAGCCGCTTCTTTATGCTTTCGTCCAACGCCGTGAAAAATTGCCCCCTGCTCAACTTAACCAACTTACGTTTATTCCCAGTTTACAACTGATATCAAACATGTGAAGGGGGAAGACAACATCGTTGCTGACACAATGTCCCGCATTGAGGCTAACACGCTCGATGACGATTTCGCAGCCCTGGCAAAAGCTCAGCAGACGGACGACGAACTTAAAACCGTAAAGGTCCATTCTTCTTTACAGTTAGAGCCAACCCTCATGCCTGGATCCAACATTTCCGTTTTTGTGTGATGTGTCAACAGGCAAACCTAGACCCTTTTTGCCAAAACAATATCGGCGAGCCGTCTTCGATCGCCTACATGGTCTCAGCCACCCCGGCGCACGCGCTTCCGCGCGCCTCATTAGCGACCGCTATGTTTGGCCAGGCATTGCTAAAGACTGCCGCTCCTGGGCACGCGAGTGTCTCGCCTGCCAGAGCAGCAAGGTAACGCGCCATGTCGTTTCACCGCTTGGCAACATTAGCACACCTTCAGGCAGATTCCGTCATGTTCACCTGGACATTATTGGACCGATGCTTTCTTCAAACGGATTAACTTATTGCCTAACAGCAGTAGACCGTTTCTCACGCTGGCCCGAAGTTTGGCCCATGTCGTCGATAACCGCAGTAGAAGTCGCTGATCAATTCACCCATGGCTGGATCGCTCGCTTTGGTGTACCGATCACTGTCACAACGGACCAGGGACGTCAATTTGAGTCCCAACTTTTCAACAGACTGATGGATTTAGGAGCCACAAAACGCGTTCGTACTACGAGCTATCATCCCCAAGCTAATGGGATGATAGAGCGTTTCCACCGCCATTTAAAGGCCGCTTTAATGTGTCACAAGAGTTCTTGGTACCATGCCCTACCTTTCGTTCTTCTCGGAATCAGGGCGGCACTAAAAAATGACATCAAAACGTCAGCTGCAGAAGTTTTGTATGGGGAGCCGCTACGCCTACCAGGCGAGTTCCTAGTGGCTAGCAATTCCCCTCAGACCGTGGACGATGATTTTGTTGCACAGTTGCGAAAACGGATGGCAGAACTTCGCCCCGTTCCAGCATCACGTCACACAAATTCTAAAACTTTCGTTTTCAAGGACTTACCTGATGCTACTCACGTGTTCCTCCGCGAAGATTCCGTTCGACGCCCTCTACAGCCACCTTATACAGGCCCCTACAGAGAGTTGAAGAGATCTGAAAAGACACTTACCTTAGACATTTCGGGCCGAAGATCTGAGGTTAGCATCGACAGAACAAAACCTGCGTATATTGCACCTGACCCAGACGGCAATCCGTCCCCTAACAACTTGGCACCGGAGCCCCCAGCCCTTCCAACTCTTTCACCTCCTATTAGCCAAACGGCCGTGCCCATTAAAACGCCCGCACAGCCTGTAACAACCCGGTCAGGTCGCAAAGTTAAATTTAAAGATATTTTAGATTTATAAGTACTAGTTTTTAATACGTTATTTTTGTTAAAGCAGAGTTTTTTCAATTTTAAGTTTCCAATGTTTATTTTTTCGTTGTATAAATTAAAATTCCATTAGTTAAAAATTATCCTAAATAATGTTGCTTGTACTTTATAATAACAGTGTATAATTATTTGATTGTTACATTTTATACTTGTTTTGCCTTCAATGTGTACTTATTTTTCTCCGTAGGAGGGTGATGTGGCGACTCATTTGCTACTGTGTAGCACCGCTGTATCTTTTACACCCTTACTCTCATCGGTCTAGCATTACCCTATTATTGACAAATTTCTATAGCAATGAGTGACAATAAAAGATTGTTTTTCTCAACACGGCTTGTTCTTTGTACTGCATCTTAATTATTCCCTCCTGCCGGCTCCCAATAAGATATAAATTGATATATCGATGTTTATAAAAATATCAATATCGGTTTCGACCTATCGATATTTTATGTTTAGGGCCCGTTCTCCAAAAGAAAAAGGTATGTCAAGTATTAAATATTTGACATATCATTTTTGATATGATACCTACCTACCCGCGTGGTCAGTTAAGTAACAACCTACCTACCCGCGCGGTCAGTTACGTAACAATACGTATTTAATCTGCTCCTCAATTTTTTATTCAAAATCAGTGTAAGGATTAAAGTTTTACCCTGATGCTATATATGTTTGGATAGCATAAAGTGCAAGATTTGTAATAGCTCCACTCGACAAGTGAAATTCCACCTAGATTGTGAGTAATAGCTATGAATTAGATTGTGAGTAATAGCTATAAACATTTTCAAAATAATTGTTTGCTAATTGCCGTCACTGACCTAGGGCAACTCGCGGCCGGCTTGCATCTGCGCACACATACGCATCGCACAGTGTACGTGACGTACGGCACAGCGCTTTTATCCTTGACGCTTTATTCATCCACAACTTTCAAGCGCACCTTGAAACCTTACTTACAATGGTTGGAAATAAATACTCTGGATGCCGGAACAACATAACTACTAGGGAGTTTCTGGTGTGCTCCACTTGCTCATCTAAATACGACCTTTTATGCGCTAATGTTGGTTTAAAAAGATTTAATCTGATGAACCAAGAAATAAGACACAGCTGGAAATGTCCTGAATGTCATAGTAAGCAACCAAAAACTGATAACACGAACTCACCGTTGCGCCAAACACTCCAATCCACTCAACCGGGCACCAGTAACGTCAGCGTACTTGATGAAACATCATGTGAAGCCAGCAACGTTACCATTAGAGCTCGCCAGCAATCCCAGGCTGTTCCAGTAGATGACCGTTATGTGACGGAGGATTCATTGCGGCGAATACTTAGTGAGGAATTGTCATGCATGATCGAAGAAAAGATAAAAAAGTTGGTGACTGTACAACATCGAACGATAAATGAGCGCATAACGGAATTTAATGAATTCATTGCTTACTTTAACAGGTAATATGAGGAAATGAAGGCTGAACTGCAGGAAAAGTCAGCTATCATAACAGGGCTGCAAAAAGACAACCAAACGTTGCAATCAAGTGTCAAAGCTTTGTCCCAAAGACTCAATCTGGCGGAGCAGAATATGAGAGACTCGAATTTGGAAATAAATGGCGTTCCAGAACATAAGACGGAAAATCTGCCAACCATTTTAACCCAAATAGCAAAAACCGTTGACTGCCATATTGGAGATAAAGATATTCATCATGTAAAACGAGTTGCTAAGCTAAACAAGAACGGTGACCGGCCTCAGATGGTTATTGCTAAGCTCCGCAGCCCCTGACATCGAGACACCATGTTGGCTGCTGTTGCCAAATTCAACAAAAGTAACCCAAAGGAAAAGCTGTCAACCCAACATCTTGGTATGGCGGGTCCGTCAAAGCCTGTGTTTGTCTCGGAGCACTTAACATCAGCTATCAAGTCCCTGCACACAGCAGCTCGCCTCAAGGCCAAGGAAGATTTCAAATTCGTATGGGTTCTAATGGACGCATCTTCTTACGCAGAAATGAGTACAGCCCAGCCATCCTCATTCGAAGTATTGAAAATCTTGATTCGATAACCTCTCCTCAACAAAGATCCTGATAACACATGTATGAGGCACCTTTGGAATATACTATCAAAACGTGCGTGGTCTGAGACCGAAAACAACGAACGTGTAAAAAAACATCTTGGCAAATAATTACGACGTTATAGTGTTTACGGAGACTTGGTTGAATCCGGATGTGGCTAGCAGTGATATTTTCGATTGTAGATATAAGGTTTATCGTAGAGATAGTGTATGTTCCAAATCCACTAAAATGGATGGCGGAGGTAGAAGTGGGCGATACAAATCGTATCAGATATGAAAACTATATATTAGTACGATATCCGAAAATCGCTTACTGGCTCGTTCAAAATCTATGTATTTTACAATATCTGATATTTCCGAAATCTGATGTACCGAATACTCGCTCGCTCGCTAGACCAACACGAATCGCGATATCATACGCGTTTGCCACAATATCTGATTTTTAAACAGATTTTGACAGACAAAGCGCGTGAGATACAAATACTCACTAGTTAGAGCGGGACGGCAAGCAATGCACGATATCAGATTTTTAAACAGAAAACAGATTTCGAGAGACAAAGCGCGTGAGATACAAATACTCACTAGTTAGAGCGGGACGGCAAGCAATGCACGATATCAGATTTTTAAACAGATTTGAGAGACAAAGCGCGTGAGATACAAATATTACACTAGTTAGAGCAGTACGGCAAGCAAGGCACAACATCAGATTTTAAACAGATATTTTGAATAATTTAAGTAATTTTGAATCTTAAAACCATGACAATAAGATCCGTTTCAATTAAATACTAATCATGGTATCAACGATTACTACAACGATATTATTAAGTATATTTTTATTGTTTTGTTTAGCCTTGAGCCGTAACGGGCGACAAAGCGCGCAGTTAAGTAATTTTGAATCTTAACAGCATGGAAAAAAACATTTTTAGTTGCATTTAAATACGAATTACGGTATTAACGATGTCTTTAAATTTTGTTTGACCTTGGGCTGGATTGCATTGGTACCTAGCACGTAATAGTAAGGGATGCCAACTTACTACTTAAGAATTTTCTGCCTAAATTAAGGAAGAAAAATTTAAATGGAAATTTTTTAGGAGGTAAATTTTTTGTGAATATTTTTATTAGTTAAATTTTATTCATATTTTTGGAAAAATAAAAAAAAATACACAAAAAGAAAAATATAATTTAATAGTGCTGTGCTGCTTGGGTGGAAATCAGACCAAGGCTTATGTGCTTTGTGTGTATATTTTAAATTCTTCCGCCCTAAGTTATAATACTGAATGTATTATTTCTTACACAAATTATAAAAATATTGTCACTCATGATTGCGTGTTCTAAGAATATGTTAAACTCAATTATTTTAAGCGATATATAAGATGTTGAAATAAATCATTTTTATATTACTTCAATTTCTATTTTTAATGAAATTTATTTTTTTATTATTATTATTATTTTTTTTTTTTTTTAGATTTCAAGGTGGATACGGGACCGTAAAATATCTAGATATTAAAATACATAGTTTCGAAATCTGATATTTGAAATCGAAATCTGATTCAGATACGGTACTCAGAAAAAGCGATACGACCCATCTTTATAGGACAGAAGATGACGTACTGTTAATATATTTTTAAATGACTACTTAGACAAAGGAACTGCTTGCGTATTATGCCTGAGTTTGCACTTACGCCCTTTTATACTGAGCTGTTTTTGATTATTATTTTTCGTGCCTAAAAAATTTTTTTTTAATTAATTCAAAAAATACGTATACCATATTTTTGTATCTATTTTCAATCTAATTTTAAATTTAGGGGTGTTAAGAAAAAGAAATGTTGTCAATTACGGGCGATTTTAATCTAGGATTCATTAATTGGAGTGGAGATTATGATCATATTGCGAAAATGGTTCCATCTAATTATAATAGTACACTCGGATGCGGTCTTGTTGATTTATCTCTTAATAACTTTAGTCAATTTAACAACACACCAAACAGTGACGGTAGATACTTAGATCTCATTATGAGCAACTTTCCCGGTGTTGATGTGTCAGAGCCTCTAGAACTCTTGAGTAGGCTGGACTGTAAACATCCTAATCTTTTAGTAACGTTACAAAAGACGAATTTTGCCTATCTTCAGCCTAAGAAACGAACTGACCACAATTTCTATAAGGCAAATTAATTAAATTGCTTCGGACCTGGAGTGTGTTGATTGGGTGGAAAGGTTTTCGAGCTGTAGCAACGTTAATGAAATGGTTACAAAATTATATGATGTACTAAGTTTAATTATTGATAGGTCTGTCCCCAAGCGCCGTCCTTCCAAGAGTAAATACCCCAAATAGTTTAGCCTCACACGAATTAAACATCTATCCGAGAAAAATAAGCTACGCAACATATATTGGAAATATGGTAATCCACGTGATAAATTAAAACATGAACTCTTACGGAGCCACTGTCACAAGCTTATTGACAAGTGCTATAGTGACTATAAGGCAAATATTGGGCATGGAATATCGAGTAACGTCAAAACTTTTTGGAAATACGTTAAAGACAAACGTGGCAATCAGTCAACTCTTCCCTCAAAAATGCAATTAAACGATTCCATTGCAGAATCTGGTTCTGAGATGGCTACTCTTTTCGCCAAACATTTTGCTTCCACGTTCACTTCAAGTAACATATCACAACTTCAAAGTTGTGATATGTTTTATCTAAACTTGAAGTGAACGTGGAAATCCTCAAGGATTTATTGTCACTTATTTCTGAATATGATACCTTAAGAGCAATTAAACGATTAGACATACAGAAAGGAGCCGGTCCTGATAAAATATCTCCTCTATTTATAAAAATCTGTGGATCTCTTTTATCTCAACCATTAACGATGATCTTAAATTGTTCGCTCAGAGATGGTGTGTTCTCAGAGGAATGGAAAAAAGTACCGGTATACCAAAAAGGGGAAACAAGCAACGTAAAAAACTACCAGCCGATTTCCATTTTGTCTACTTTTTCTAAATTGTTTGAGTCTCTGATTAATCCACTAATTATTAGCCACATAGATACTTCACTATCCGAGTACCAGCATGGGTTCCGCAGGGGTCGCTCAATACAGACTAATTTTATCTCATATATTTCTGAAATTGCACTGGGGGTGGATAGTGGAAGTCAAATTGATGCTGTTTACACAGATTTTACCAGTGCTTTTGATAAAGTAAATCACGCACTACTTTTAATGAAATTGCGAATGAAAGGGATACATGGTAATTTGCTTCACTGGTTTAGGTTTTACCTCAGTATGAGACCCCAGGTTGTTGCTGTTGGGGGTTTTGAGTCAGACATATATTTTGCATCGTCAGGAGTCCCACAGGGCTCTCACTTAGGCCCAGTACTGTTTCTTATATTTATCGATGATATAGCGATGCATATAAAAATTGTAAATTCAGCTTATGTGCGGATGATTTAAAAATTTACAGGGCAGTCAATTCTTCCCATGACATGAAACTTATTCAGGAGGACTTCAACAGTATTCACACATGGTGAGAATCAAACGTTATGACCCTCAACGTTGATAAATGCTACCATATCAAATTTACAAAAAAGAAAAATTATTTCCCATCCACTTATGAAATTAACAGTTCAACATTAACTGAAGTAGAAAAAATTAAATTTTACCATCGTTGCGAAAAATGCCACAGGCCTCCCAGACGGATTCCTACAGCAATGTGTAAGCTTTCATCGTCAAGTAATATGCCTAAGTTACTTAATGGTAAAGCGTGAAACCAATAACTCGATTCTTTTGATGAGATGCCTAGGAAACGCCTATAATATGATTTAGATATTGAATATTTTATATCGATGCATCGGATCCAAGTATATCGGCTAAAAATACCGATACTTAAAATCAAAAATATCGATATATTTTCGACATCCCTATGTTGAAGAATTCTAAATTGTTTAACAAAATGTCACACCGACACCGAACTGCGTATTTTGGATGCGTGCTGATATTAAAATAATTGTTCATTTATGATGTAAATTTGTAAATAGCACTTTAATTTACGTTGTTCCGTGTAAATATCGAATCGAATACTAGTGAAAGTTTAGTGTATTGTGAAGTTTCGAAGGCATACCCAGCTATGTGTTATGAATTGGCGAAAACGACTGAATTGTTTGTAATATAAAGTCCTCGATATCCACTATTATTGGAGAAAAATAATCAGACGTAAGTTATTTATTTGTATTCACTTTCGCAAGTACAGTTTTCATGCACGGTGTTTTGCATTTTCTATTTCAAGATGGCGGATATCTCAGGAGATTTGTTTATTTCTGTTCAAGAGCAATCTTCATTCATGTTCTCTCGACTTAATTTATATATTATTCATATTATTAAAATTACTACAAGTCAGTACAATAATTATCTTTTCACCATTTCAATGTTTCGCCGTAAGGTTATTGAACCTGTCGAAACCTGTCTCATTGCGCGAAAAAAGAACATTTCCCACTACTTATTAAATTCTAATGGCCCTAAACTTGTTATTAATATTGTTGGGTACTATATATGACCGGATAAAAAAAAACTAAATTTCACACGGACGGCATACGAGATTTGTTATTTTTTTCATATAGCGTCCAATTTAGGTCAAGTGGTGTATTTCCTATGTGGACAATACCGTATTCCCGATTATTTGCTTAGCCAAAGATATATTGACACGATACGTTAACCGTCTCATTGATGTAGAACTCTATTATTCACTTGTGATATGAAACTAGAATAAAAACCGGCCAATTGCGAATTGGATTCGCGCACGAAAGGTTCCTTACATCTATACAAATGGAAAAAAATCTGTTGTATATAATATTTTTGTTTTTTAGTATTTGTTCTGTGAAAATCTGTAAAAATTTCAACTGTCTAACTAATCACAGTTCATGAGAATACATTGTTTGACTGCAGTAATCTCCCAATATTTAGGAGACTGTGTTACTATTATTTGAAAAGAATTGAGTTTAAATATTTACAGCTTTATAAGATTAACAGCAGATTTCTATTGTAAATTCATTGATATAGATTCTGATTTTGTCCAATGAAAGACAAAATAGAGTATAGCTAACTCAAAAATGCATGATAAGAGCACTTCATGATATCCCAATATTGTGGACCTGCCAGAATTTATGTTGAATGGATGTGCGGTTTTGGAAACATGGTAATACCTTTTGAATTTGGTGTGTGAACACTATGAAATTTTGAAAAAATTTAAAAATATTAATATTAATTTGGATGGACTGTGTGAAGAATGATATGTCTGTGAAAGGGGTCAGTATTGAGATGACGGCTGATAGAAGAGGTAAGTTGAAGAAAAGGACATGTTGTGCCATCTAGTGTTGGATAAGGGCAGGAGAAAGAAGAAGTGTGTGAACACTGTGATGGTAAATTAAGAAAAAGTGTACAGCATATAATATATTTAGATTCCTAATCTCTAGAGATCTGAATCCAATAAAGTATAATAATAATAATACAAATCTAAGATTGTCAAATTGACTTGTTTATATGTCATTTAATATTGCTCATTACTAGGAAATACTATGAAATAATTATTTTGGTTTATGCTCTTCTATAGATTCTATAGACTAATTGCAACATTGTTTAACTGAACTGACTGATACATTATTTCCTGCTTAGTTTTGTTGTTATTCAATTAAATGATTTCCTGTACATATGGAAATACTATAAATTGTTAAATTAATATTTGTAAAGGGCCTTTATAATGGCTATTGTAATACATGAGAAATTGGGTTTTTGCTTAAAGTTCTCAACTTATAATTATGTTGATAGACTTGTTACTAAGCCATGGTCTAAGTGTGGAAAAAGAGTTAGAAATGCATGTACAGTGTGATTAAGAGACTGTAAAACGAATGGGCAGGTTCATCCCAGAAATTCCACAACCACTTGGGAATGTTATACTTGGGTGTGTTGTGAGTGCGGTGACCGGGGCTAGCTTTTTTAAAGGTTGTCAATGTGTCTGTTTGGGTGTTGTAGATGATTATGGGCGGCGGTATTCACTTAACATCAGGCGGACTGCCTGCTCAATTGACAACTTTTCATATTAAAAAAAAACTCGCTATTTGGGTTCGCGCACAAACCCCGAAGGAGAAGTGTCTAGGTCTCTCTCTAGCCGTGCACCCTCCTACCACATTCATACAAGCCTAGTAACTTCTATAGAATACTATAGAAGCATCACACTCATTTTGTTCGGAAAAGAAAATCCACTGACCTGAGAAGAACCGACGAAAGAAACTCAGCAAGACATTTATTTTACCAATATTTTACAAGTAACATGTTTACATAATGAGAATTTGGTAAATGAGCATGCTCTTTGCTTTTCAAGTTATCCCTGCCAGTGGACACATATGGAGAGCCAGAGGACAATATATGTGGAGTAGCAAATGCATTGCAACTTTTAAAGAAGTAGGTCCTCCCAACAAAATGCTATATTACAAATTCTTCACTGCACATTGTCTTCTGTAACATCAGAAGCTGTATGGTGCCAGCTATGGCTGCAGCATAGTCTTGCAGCATATATATCACATAAATTATTTAAGTATCGCATATATTATGTTGTCTAGTTACTGCTTTATTTATCATAGAGGCCCTTTGGTTTCATTGTTAAGACATCGCGATCTAACTATTGTTTCTATTGTTTCAACCTGCAATTTGAGGCTCCGAGAACCATAACTTGGCGACTTCGCCAAGTGTGCCGTCATGATACGCACGCAATAGTCATGTAGTGGCATCATCACTTTGCATAGATTTTCTGTAGCTGTAGTGGCCTAGTAGTGGCCACTTCCTGATACAACAAAAACAACACACAAAATATATGCATAAAACATAAAAGCTCATGGCTTATGCAGCCGTCTCGTCGAATCCATTTCGTCGTGTCTGAATTTTAATTGCCTGCAATTGTACAATTCGAGTGCGCGGGCCTAGTATTGTGACGATGTTGTCATTATGCGCTAATTCGCGTAATTAACGGGCGCCCGCTTTGGAATTGGCTTCATTAGGACAATTGTCGGCCCCGCGTCGGCTTTCGACACGTGTGCGGTGTGAAATTGTGGCTTTTGTACATTTGAGCGTCACTTTTTCGTCGCGATTGTTGCCAGTTTTTCATAAATCGGTGTATTCAAGGCCAAGTGTAGGTCAGATACGGTGATTTTTTATGTTCTGTGTGCATTTGACGGGTTGGTGGTGCAAGGGACGTCCCTATCTCCGGGAGTCTTATTGTGGACGTGTTTCAATGTGTGCCCGGTTTCTTGTTTTTGGCTCAACCATCAACCCAGTTTTCGTTCCAATTTAGTTTTTCCTCTTGGCAGTTGATTTTAATACGGCGTTATTTACGGAAATGTGTTGCTTAATTTTACATTCCTCAAAAATGTTGCTTTAATTTATGGTATGAAGGCATCATATTTGTTTAACGCTAATGAATGTGTGAACTTATAAAAAATAAAACTGTTTCTTAGCAAACGACAATAATCGTGCACAACAATAAGAAAAATATACAACTTTCAGATTACGAGCACACATGTTGCAAAAACTCTGCCAATAACTGCAGTGTAAAATTGCATTACGTTATAAAACACTGTTATCAGCTCTCTGATTTGTTTGCATTATACTGTTACACTGTTCACATGTATTTTTTTATTCGTGAATTGAGGACGTTTCGCGTTCGCTGCTATATCCCTCGTTTCTGTGACCTAGAATATCTATTGAAGTCTTCCATTCGAAGACATTGCCCCCTTACTACAGGATAAAATTGTTCAATCCTGTGTTGTAAGAAAGTTTTACATACATAAATTTGTGGACAAGCATCCAGATCCGAAACAATTATTGGAGGTTCACACAAATAGATGTCTCGTGTGGGAAACGAACCCACGACACCCGGTACCGAAGACAATACCTTGGCAACGGCGCCACGGAGTCATCCCTGGTGTTGATGATGAGTGTCCATCTGGAGTTGGTCCCTCAGCATCATGTGAATGTTTGTTTTATGTGAAAAGGTAGCAAACGAGCTGCTGGCTCACCTGATGTTAACTGATAACCGCCGCCCATGGACATTTGCAACAACCTTCGGGTTGCAGATGCGTTGCCACCTATTAATAATGTGGGCCCCGGCTACCTCACTCACCAGACGAAACGCAGAAGTGTAACACTTGTACTTCACGCCGGTCTTCTGTGAGGTCGTGGTGCTACCCCGGACGGACCAGCCCATTCGTGCAACAGCGTCCTACCACAGCTACTACGTTTGCTGAGCGGTATACCTTCTAGAATGATCGATGCCCTCTCGTTTCAGATGGTAGTTCGCCTGGCGAACCTCTCATAGTGTTTCCATCCAGCATCATGGGACAACAGACATCCAGGAAGAGTAAGTGGTGATTCGTCATTCTTTTGAGGACCCGATTGGCGTAGTGGACACTGAACGAGTCCCTCGTGTTGGAGTGTGTGGGTTCGATCCCCACTGCTGGAACACACGTCGTGTTTTTATACTATCTGGGTGTTTATATAACTATATAAAATGTGTCTATTTACAAAAAAAAAAGTATGTTTAAATATGTTTATCATTAACTAGCGACCCGTCCCGGCTTCGCACGGGTGCAATAAAACATAAAAACCTTCCTCTTGAATCACTCTATCTAGTAAATAAAACCGCATCAAGATCCGTTGCGTAGTTTTAAAGATCTAAGTATACTGAATGAGATCTAATGAAACTTTACAATAACAGCTTATACATCAGAATAACACATAGGCTATATAATTTATAAAGATATTGTGTGAATTGTCCGAAATATAGGTAATGATAAGTTTCAACTTAATAGGAAAAACTTCAGCCATCTGCTAGATATTGTGTATATAAAAAAATGATAATTATAATTACAATGACAATTACCTTTGGCTAACAGCTAATAATAACCACCGGGCACCGGATAACTAGTAAATATACTAAAAAAAAAACAGTTTTGAGCCCGTGCAGTCGGATTCAGTCTGAGCCCTGATAGCGTTTCACGAGAGCTGGTGACGAGAAGACCGGCCCCCCCGAATAGAACGCAACGGTCTATTGCAGGTGGCGAGTGCACGTGCGGCTGCGGCGCCTGGGAGCGCCGCCGCTACACGGAGTCGCCGAGCAGCGTCCACCGATATGTGAGCGCCGTCACCGACAGGTGGGTGGGGTGGCAGATGTGGCAGCGTCTCTGTGCCACGCACGAATACATGTTAGGAGGGCTCCGTGGCGGGCAAAGGTGCCAGGAATTCTGGACCAACGCCTCTACATCAGGGTGATACTCTTCGTCAGGCAAGCGAATACGATAATTTAGCGGCTGCGATCCCGATTCTTACCTTAACTTGGAAATAGCGTCTATTTATATCGAATATTGAACCCCAGCGCTGTCATGGCGCCGAAACGAGTTTCGGAAGTGATAATGAAATTTTTATTTTATCTAAGTAGATGGCAAGCGGGCTGGTGGTTCACCTGAAGTTAAATGACAACCTTCGCTTTGCAAACACCCGTTGGGATGCAGATGTGACGCAGAAGTATATAGCTTTTTTGCACTTCACGCCGGTCTTCCGCGAATTTGTGCCATTTCCCCAGACCGACCTGCCCATTAGTCCCATAGCGAACACTGTTGAATGAGTCAATGAACGTTAATTTAGTTTCAATAAACAGTTATGACAACAATTATATATAACTAAGGCATAACTAACAAGTTTATATAACTAAGGCATGGAACCAAATAGGTACACGGTACGATTTACTCATTTTGAGTGCATACCAAAAATTCAAATTATAAATAACAAACTAGACTAAAGTCCAGTTTCTGAAACACTGATTATCTTTTTGGCGACTCAAATTACATTTGACGGCTGATTAGTTAATTTCTACGATGATAGGGTGCTTCAGAAACTGGGCGTGAGATTAACACAAAGCGAGAAGTATCTACTATCACCGTACAAAAGTCTACTCAACTCGGCTATTTGTTTTATTCAACCTTGACATTGTTTTAAATAGGTTTAGGACACCATTTATCCTTGATCATACTGAATTTAACACAAAGCGGGTAGATTAAATCGATTCGCGTGGCCCTACAGCCAGAATCCTTGCATTTGGTGAATTTGCCTCCTTGTGGTTCCAGGTGGAGTGGACGCGAGTGCGCCTGCCGCCGTCGCCGCTGGCGGAGGCCCGCCTGCGTGTGCACTGCGTACCGGCGCGTCAGCGACGACAGGTGAGGGGCTGTAAGATAGCGGGGGAGGAGGTTCTAAGATTACTGGGTCTACAAGTCTTAGAGAGATCCATTGTAGATGTATCAATGAAAACATTTCGCCCGTCACAACTGCTTGGCGCTTGTTTTTTGTGTGGAAGGGGTCGGGTTGTAAATCCAAACGAACACTGTGACTTGAAAGGTCCATTGTATTCTTCCTTTTGAAGACATTGCCCCCATCACAACTGCTTAGCAGTTGTATTTTGTTTGGAAGGGGTCGGGTTGTAAGTCCAAACGACCCCTGCAACCTGGACAGATCCATTGTATTCTTCTCCTTTTGAAGACATTGCCCCCATCACAACTGCTTAACGGCTTTTGTGTGGGAGGGGTCGGGTTGTAAGCTCACTAGGTCGGGTTATGAGTCCAAAGGATCACTGAAACATGTAGAGATCCATTGTAGTCTTCCATTTGAAGGCATTGCCCAATTACTGTAGTATAACATTAACCTGTGTTGAAAGGACCTTTTACATACATAAATTTGACATGTACTAACACCCAGATCCTTTAACAGAACTGGTGAATGAAACTAGTTGGGACATTTTTTTACCATTATATTACCTTAGGTTTATATTACATTAGGTTTATTGAGTTTAGAATTGAAAAGGCGACAAGGCTTTGCCCCTATTACTAGGCGGCTCAGTAAAAGGCGTGGATACATCAGAATTGCACCCTTCCCAGGGGTTTCTTTGTTCTTAAACACTGCTTCGACTGCATGGTTCTTTACTTTATAATATTGCTTGCTTCACATCAATTGTTTTTGCTTAATAGCGTTCATACATTTCCAGGCTGGCGGCGGTGCTGACCCTGGGCGCCAGAGACCTGAGGCGCGAATTGGACGCCATTGTCATCAATGCGGGTTGGTTGAACCACTTATTCACCATTCCAACGAACTGTGGCAGTTGTAATGTGGCAATGCAACGCTGCTTATGCCAATGATGATGTAGAGTGAGAAAAAATGGCAAACCAAGACAAACAAATCCATAGACCAAAGACAAACAATTAATAGCTAACCGCTGCTGTTTAGTCGCACACAATGCCCGAACAGACTTCAAGAATAAGTGAAAGTGTGTAAATGCGTCTACTATGAGACCATTGCAACTTTTATTTAGGTCTGGTTGTACCGTTATTAAGTCATCACTGCCACCCATGGACACACAACCGGTTTCACAAGGTCCCTTTAAAACGCGTGTGAGGTAAGCGCACGCCAGACAGGACAACTTCCGCTGACTCCATTGAATGAAAATTTTTTTTCACATTTATTGTTGCTCTTAATAAGTAGAACGCGATGTCATTTATTGTGTTTTAAAAGGGAATATTTTAAAACATGTAGAGAAAGTACGAAAAGATTGTCGCCGCCGTGGGAATCGAACCCACGTCTTCGGCATTCACGGCCTGACGCTCTAGCCACTGAGCTAAACGGCTGATTGCCACAGCGACGAAAATCTTAACGCCTTCTTTCTACATTATTATTTTAGCATTTGAATGGAATTGAATCTTGATTTTTAAAGCTCCTATGTCAACCTTCGATCTTCCTTAAAAAGCAGCCGCCTGCGAGGCTCCACGATGTAAGCTCAACAGTTTTTCACTTTCGCAGACAGTGAGACGAGCCGGGAAAGCGGCGAGCCCACTGCGGAGGTGTACGTGCTCTCGGTGGCGCCCAGGCCGTGAGTTGCAATCGCAACACGCACTTACATATGACACATCTTGCATATTTACACTGAGCTGAGAAAGCTTGTCATATCTGAGAATCAAAACTGCCAAACGCGACGAGCAAAGGCGACGTCTTTCGTTTTAATTAGTCATTGTTAAATGACTAGTGACCCGCCCCGGCTCGCACGGGTGCATTACACATATAAACTTTCCTCTTGTATCACTATCTAGTAAAAAAAATCTGATCAAGATCCGTTGCGTAGTTTTAAAAATTTAAGCATACCTAGGAACAGACATACAGCGGGACAACTTTGGTTTATACTATGTAGTGATGTCGATGAGATCGAAGACTCAGCATGCAACTACATGATTACTACTGTCTACATACTACAATCAACATTCAAATTGATTTACCGTCTGGCAAGGATAATAAGATAAATCATTATATGATGATGGTAACTTGTTTCAGCGAGGCTGAAGGTGCTGAGGAGGGGCGCAGGAATGAGCTGACCCAGACCAGCGACGGCTCCATCAGGCTGCACCCCCACTTCCAGGTAAAGACCCAAACCTGGGTTAACTGAGGTAGGACCATGTAACAGTGTTCACTGTTGCACGAATGGGCAGGTCCTTCTTGGTAAGTACCACGACCTCACAGAAGACCGGCGTGAAGTAGAAGTGAAAAAAATACACTTCTGCGTTTTGTCTGGTGAGTGAGGTAGCAGAGTTTCATTTTATCGATATGGAAGCCTACTGGTGTTGCAAATGACAATGGGCGGCGGTTATCGCTTAGCATCAGGGGAACCGCCAGCTAGTTTGGCACTTTCTGACATAAGAAACAATTAACGTTGAAAACTTACTTAATAATCTTGCGGAATACTTGCAGGGAATGTATCTAATTTTCTGCATTACTGTTTGATTTGATAGCTAGAAAATTTCAATGATATATGTTTTAGTGTACGGTCACTACGATTAGTGCTAGTTTGCACTCAAGATGAATTTTAAATGTTAGTTTAAAGTATAGAAGTTGCAAGTTCGATTCCTAGTGGCGTCGAAAATTTATGTATTAATCACACATTTGAATTACGACCACTTCGTACATCAATTTGTAGCACTTTTAAGAAAATGGATGCGAGTGTGCGGGAATTTTATGGTTGCAGGTGGCTCAGGATCTTGCTTCTTGGTGGTCTATGTTCAGCATAGTGGGCTCAAACGAAATGTGTTCTCAAATGAAAGTTTCAACTTCTTCAAAAAATAAATTGTTCTTTTACTTCTTCAGTTGTATGTGTAATGTATTGCTATTAGAATTCTCCCCTGCATACAAATGAACTCCTCCTCATCCTTATTTCAGGTCGTGTGCGGGGGAGAGCTGCGTGCGCTGCTGCTCCGCGCGCCCACGCTGCCCCACGTTGCCCACGCCGCCCACGTGGCCCACGCGACCCAAGTTGCCCACGCGACAAACGTGGCACACACGCCGCCCGCCAAAGTGCACACGCAGGTACACCAAGCATTATCGTAATTCAGGAATTTCGAGTAGACACAACATTTCACTGCGTTCAATTCAGTGTTACTTAAAGAAACAGAAAAATGTAAACGAATGAAATCACAAATGGGCAGGTCCGTCCGGGGAAGTAGTTAACTAGAGCCCAATTTAAATGTGGCAACAAATCTACCTCCCCACGGGCGTTTCTAATGTCAATGGACGGACGGAGGTTATCACTTCAGGTATACCACCACCTGACTTGCCACCTTCTCACATAAAAAAAAAAAACTAAACCAAAGCTAACTTCAATTCTTTCCTTTGTTCCTTTTTTCGCTGTGAATTAACATTAACTTAGTACAACAAAAAATCCTTAAATACATGTGATTTCGCAGCTATAGTGACGAGTATAAATAATAATAATAATGTATTTATTTGGGAAATATAGGTTAGGCATGAGGTGTACAGTACAGTAATTTTTATCGCTATATTCTACCCATTTTGTAGGGTGTGCAAATATGATATCTTCGCTTAAAGGTTGTCAGTATACATTCTCAAATTTCTTAATTATCATAATCATAAAATAAAATTGAACAAATTGTATAACAGAATATTAAAATAATATTAAAACATATGTCTATGAAAAAGTAAGTTAACAAACATTAATAATAGAACAGAGAACAAAATGACAAATAATTAAATGACTAAAAAATATAAATGTAAAAAAAAAATTTCCATTCGCAACTTACCTTGTATATTTTATCCACTTTTCTACTCATATGTAGTGTATGCGTAATTATATGAACGATACATGTAATTACTCTTTTTCCTTTTAAAAACGTTGCCCTTACTTAAATTTCACTCAGATACGAAACAACTATATGTGGGTCACACAAATAGTTGTCCCGTGTGGGGATCGAACCCACGACCCCCGGCGCCTAAGCCTTGGCAACTGCGCCAAGGAGTCATCAAAAGCTAATAGTTTAATCCTTTATTAGGTTGACTACATCCACTGTCTAGTCCCCGATCTGCAGGAGATCACCGCTTGCTCCTTCTACTGGGGCAAGATGGACCGCTATGAGGCAGAGCGACTTCTGGACAACAAACCTGAAGGTAAACGAAAGATCTGTGAGGATATAAAAACTGTATGTGACATCATAGTTTTTACTGAATTTAAGATAGTACGAGTTAGGCAGTCTCTATTTTCCTTGAGTATCAACAAGTGTCTTCAAGGCAAGAGTGAATATATATTTTTCCTGAGCCAGTGCATTTACCATTTAAGGCAACATCACTAATTACCACAGATTATTTCAGTAAAAAAATAATAATATGAATATTTGACTGAAGAATAAACAATTCAATAAAACAACTCAATAAAAAACCGGCCTAGTGCGAGTCGGACTGGCGCACGACGGGTTCCGTACCATTATCTATGAGAACTGCAAAAAAATATCATGTCTGTTATGATGTATGGGAGCCCCACTTAAATATTTTTCTATCCTGTTTTTTAGTGTGTTATAGCCCCAACAGAAATACATCATCTTCGAAAATGACAACTGTCTAACTATCACGGTTCATGAGATACAGCCTGTCTACTAAGATTGACGACCCGAATGGCGCAGTGGGTCGTATACTAGCCTACTGCGCCAGAGGGTATGGGTTCGATCCCCACTAAAAATATTGTGTGACGAACATAGTGTTTTTCCAGTGTCTGGGTCTTTATATATTTATAACATGTATTTTATTTACAAAGAAAATTAGGTTTAAATATGTTTATCAGTTATCTAGTACCCATAGTTTTGCTTGCTTAGTTTGGGACTAGAGGATGATAGAGATTTTCGATTGATTGATTGATTGATTGATTGATCGATTGAAAATTGCCAGCGTACCGTTAACGTCTGCAGGCACGTTCCTGCTGCGCGACTCGGCCCAGGAGGAGCACCTGTTCTCCGTCTCGTTCCGCAAGTACGGGCGGTCGCTGCACGCGCGCATCGAGCACTACCAGCATCGCTTCAGCTTCGACTCGCACGACCCGGCCGTCTTCGCCGCGCCCACCGTCACCGGCCTCATCGAGCACTACAAGGTGCCCACTATACTACACTCGCGGGATATCACACCCAACGGAAACTACACTCACCGGATACTACACTCACCGGATACTAGACTCGCCACATACTAGACTCACCACATATTAGACTCGGCACATACTAGACTCACCACATATTAGACTCACCACATACTAGACACACGAAATACCACACCCACACTATATGTGATGGATGTTCCACCACATACAACACCCACTACATACTAGACACCACATACCACATCCACCACATGCTAGACACACCATACACAGCATCCCACTGCACATCTCACCCTCCCCCTCGCCCGCAATACGTACCACAGACACTACAAAAACTTATGCAGCTCTCATCACCTGCAATATGATCAGCAAAACTGGAACACCCTACCTGCGTTGAGGTTTGAATTGCAGTTTTGGTTTCATCATGATTACAGTCAATGGAGCTGTTCAATATGTGTATACATTATGCAACAGACGATACCATGGGATTACCACTCAACCTGGTGGCTTACAATGTCTGTTATGCATTCAGCAAGAGTGAAACACCTTATCTGCATATGAATTAAAATTTGGATTTTATCCGTAATAGAATAGTCTTGGTGACTATACAGGCTAACCTACAAACAATACCACAGCATCTTCAGTTACTTAGCTAGTATTTGACATGACAGTCAAATACTAGCTAACCCACGGTGGGAATATACCTCATATGCCCTGACTGCTTTCTTAACCTCTGGGTCCATCGCCCATCTCTATCAAACTGGGCTACTAAAATAGTATGTGAAGAATTTACTGCTACAACTGCTTTCTTTATAGGCAGCTATCATGGCAACAAGCATATAAACCTCACATGCACACTCCATTTGTGCTTCCATGGACAAGACGCTTGCGCGTTCTTATGAAACGTCAAATTTTACGTTTCATAAGAAAGCATAAGAATACATTATTAATTATTATTTTAATATTATTGTTTGCACTTTCCATTTTGTCAGCTGGCACCCCCCCCCCCTCCCTTTTTTTTTGTGCACGAACTTCTGTCCATGGGCATCCCTGATTCCCGAATATCTGATGAATTGTGCTCTATGAGGCAGGCCATCATGTCCCATGTAAAGGTTGGCAGCCCCCAACCCTAAGCAATCCGGTGTTGTGCTGTCCATGGGCTGATCACCGAACATCCGATGAACCTCTCTAAAATCCAGGACCCCGCTTGCGTGATGTTCTTCGAGCCGATGCTGACCGCGCCGCTGCCGCGCACCGAGCCCTTCTCGCTGCAGCAGCTGGCGCGCGCTGTCATCGTCTCGCACACCAGCTACGACGGTGAGGGCAGTCCCACTAGTGGGCTTACATTGCATATACGATGATTCCGTGGCATGGTCGCCAAGGATTCAGAACCGGGCTTATGCGTTCGTTTCGCACACGAAACAATTGTTTTTGTGACCCACGGATAATTGTTTCGGATCTGTGTTTGTTTGTTTACGTTAAATTTATGTGTGTAACACGTTACACCAAGCAGTAAGGGGAAAGCGTTTAATTTATTAAATTCCACTTGAAGGAGCCTGGAGCGTTCAATAAATTTCCAGAGTGTGTTATCATTCAAATAACCACAAACACTATAATAGCCATTAACACACAAACATTCCTTTACAATTTTTTGCAATTTAACAACGGATTCATTTTGAACGTTTTCTGGGATTTTGTTGTAAAAGCATATACATTGTCCCATAAAAGATTTACTTATTCTACGCAATCAAGTTGAGGATAGAACTAATTTATGCTTGTTCCTAGTATTTACATCATGCACATTACTAAATCTTGAACATAAATTATTATAAAACATAAAACATTATAAACATAAACGTTTATAATGTTAATTTCACATGGACAAACCCCCAGATGCGACTCAACTATGTGGGTCGCACAAATAGTTGTCCCGTGTGGCAATAGAAACCACGACCCATGACGCCGAAGCCTTATTTTACTTTTTTATTTATTACCATTATTAATACCTTGGCAACTGCGCCACGGAGTCATCAAATTTTCTGCTGGTCACAAATACTTGCCCTGTGTGGGAATCTAACTCACCACAGCGCTATATTAGTTTTTAGCAACTGCGTCGAGTCATTGTCGAATCACAAATATTAGGCTATTACGAGTTGTAAACATAACCCATGACAGAATTTGACACTCTAAGGTGCTTGTAGAAAGCATGAATATAGTATATCATTGATTGAACATCTATGTGGCCCCGTTAGTGAGAACTTGTAGTTTTTATAACTATAATGTATGAAACCATGTTCCGATCTGCCTAATGGGCAGTGCCTTGCTTCTTGCTTCAAAGGGTGTGGGTTTGATTCCCACTACAGGAAAATATTGTGTGATGATCATATAGTTTTACCAGTGTCTACGTGTTTATACAGCGTGTCGTTGCAACCGCGACAATAAATGAACACACGTCTAACGTTACTTGCCTAAAAAGCATAAAAAAATATAAAACGTTAAAAAAATCCATAATTAAAAAATATGTTTTTCAAACAAAATAATAAAATAAAATAATAATAATAAATTTGTAACATCCCCATACAACTACAACTGACTCATACATTCAGAGATTCATTTGTTGCCACAACGTTGTATTACAAGTCTCCTTCTAACATATTTTATCTCATCAAATTCATTCAACCCATACATATGCTTTGTGACCTTTACAAATGAACTTTACGTAAGCGTGTTCTAAAAATTATTGTTTTGTTAAAATTAATAACTCGGTAAATATTGATGTTTAAAGAATGTAAACGCTTAATACAGTTTTAAAAGGTTATCCTCTATATTTGTGAATAAAATTAACCAAATTTCCATTTCAGGTGTAGAACAGCTGCCACTCCCAGCTCGGCTGAGGGCGTTCCTCAAGGAGTACCACTACAGGCAGAGGGTGCGCGTGCGACGCCTGGAGCCAGACTTGTATGTGCCCCACCACTGCTAACGGTTCGCGGCCGGGAGCCACATACGGGTGGTCCCGACTGTAAATCACCCCCCGATAAGGTGGAGATACTAAGAGAAGAGAGAATCTAAGAAGAGACCTGACGTCAAGAATGGAGACTTGGAAGCTGCCAGGTTCGATATGTTGTGAAGTGAAGAGATTGATTTGATATGTGGACAAAGTGTTTTATCTTCTTTGGCTAACTTCATAGGCAATTGTTCCTAGTGGTGGAATGTTGACCCGTGATTCGAAATTGTTCGGTTCAAATTCCATTGGCCTGGCAACTTTGTTTTTCCACACTCTAACGCCTCTGTAATACTTGATAAATTGTCTTTCACACTCTTCTTTTTCTGTGGCAGGAAATCATGTTAGAAAAATTAGTTATATTGGTAAACTTAAAAAACATCACTATTAAGCAACCTTTGACCTCTAATATTAATTCTAGTGCCTGTCGGATATCATATGTTGATAATGTATTTCTGATCCATTTTACCTCCATCAATTTAGAACAATAGAAATGTAAAATGACTTCTGGTGAAATTGTGAAGTATGTATTTATTAAAACGTAACATTTTAATTTCATAGTGTTTAAGAAGTCGCCATATCTGGCTATGTATTTAATAATTTACTATGTACAAAGTCACTGTATTAATATATTAAATATTGATGTATAGAAAAGAAATTGTGGATAGAATTTTTTAGTCTTGTAGATGCGTTTTATCATTTTATTATAAAACAAACAAATATAAATTACATTGTACAAATGCAGTCATAATGTAGGCCACGCAATATTAATTTTTCTCATATAACAAGGAGAAATCTTGATAAATTTTTAGTGTAGCACTACAATTGAGAAAGGATTAAAATTTAAGAATTAAATAAAATTTTTATATGTATGTATGCACAATTCTTCAAATTGTCGTGATCAAGAGTAGCTGTTCATAATATAGAAAAAACACAAGGCAGGAATTTTCTATAAAAGTAAAGCATTTTCACCAATAGATGTATGTAAATATATGAAAAATGAACAATAGTATTTTAGGATGAGAACACATGTGACATGTGATAAAACATCTAAAAATTTTCTAATATGCATCTTTGATTAGGATGCTGTGGCTATTACAACTTCTATGGGATTGCTCTACCATACCTTCTGTATAGAGGAGGCCTTTGCCCAGCTGTGGGACATAAATATAGGCTGGAACTTTACTTTACTATGGGATTGCTCAACAAACAGTTGATGGGTGAAATGGAAGGGAATATGTTAGAGCTTGAAGTCAAACAGTACATGGCGCTGGAAGACTAAAAAGTTTTGTCAATACAATCATTATTGGAATAAAGGTTCGGGGGTGTCTCTGACTTGGAATCTGTATAAGAGCTTCGAAATTACGTCTTAGTGGTTAATTGAGTTTTGTGTAAATATCGATATATTAAGTACTAACTGAAACGGGATTCACAGGAATCTGGGGTTGCTATCCCGCTGCCGGGTCTAACCGAGTATTCACAGATTATACACACAAGTTTATTTTTATTTTTTTTGTCTATTTATTAAGATTCTATTAATGTAATCAGTTGTTAAGGTAATTTTGTACACCTCTGGTGTTTCTCTACGCAGGCTCTATCATATATATTTACACTCTGCGTAGAGGCATTAGAGGTCTGTTTTAGGGTAATACATTTCTGTGAGTCTATTGTTTGTGTCCTATAATTATGTATAAACCATCTAATCATGGTACGTATCCGCCTATGCCATATAAATACCACGATACGATACGGTATATACTTACTAGGGATGTCGAAAGCGAAGAAATATATCGAAGTATCGATATTTATAAAAATATCGATATATCGGTCAAATATTCAGACCAAAAAAGAACTAAATACCAATCTAATATTTTTCTTCCGAACAAATACGAATTTGGAAAAAAAAGTACCGTTTTTGATTCGATATTCGATATTGAATGTTTTGTATCAATATACCGGAACAGAATATATCTTCTAAAATATCGATATATCGAACAAAAATAGCCATTCATCGATGTATCGATAATTTTTCGACATCCCTAATCTTTGCATCACGTTGCCGCTACCTGTGTGAATTTGTCGGGTCTAAGTACAACTTTTTATTTTGAAACCGCGTTGATAAGGTCGACGTGGTGGTTGATCTATTTTATTGCAATAATGTGCGCAGTATTACGATGGGATGGCCCCGGCGGTTAAGCTACAATAGCGGAGAGGCGGGACTTTTTTTTTTATTCGAAAAGTTGCCAAACGAGCAGATGATGTTAAGTGAATACCGCCGCCCATAGACATCTGCGACACCCGAGGGTTTGCAGATGCGTTGACAACCTTTTTGGAAATTGGGCTCCGGCCACCTCACTCACCAGACGAAACGTGAAAGTATTTGTCATACTTCCACTTTACGCCGGTCTTCTGTGAGGTCGTGGCACTTACCCGGACGAGCCTGCCCATTCGTGCAACAGCCGAGGCTGCTGCTTGTCCCAACCACCAATAAGGATAGAAGAATAAAGGACATGTCAGTGCCACCAGATAACATATAACGATTGAATTAGTTTGCTGCCCAAACCCGTGGGATTCTGGCCCGCCCACCGGTTCTGCGTCAGATGAAGCTTTAATAGTCTCGGGACTGAAAGCAAAAACATCAGTCATCAATATTAGTTTGCTTTAACTACTTAATTTTTTTTTTATTTAAAACATTGCCCTTACTTTAGACATTACCCTGTGTTGTAGGGACGTTTTACAAACATAAATTTCACGCGTACAAACGCCCAGATGCGAAACAACTACCTGTGGGTAACACAAATAGTTGTCCCGTGTGGGAATCGAACCCACGACGCCGAAGCCAATACCTTGGCAACTGTTTATTACACAACTTATTGTTGTGTCCTTTGTTCAGCTAACTCAACCGGATACGTGTACTTGTCTACCTACTGTTTAAAAGTCAATATTACCGGCTGATTGTATTACTAACTCTTTGTTTTGTTCAACCTTGACATTGGCAGAATCATCAAGTTATATATTTACGGAGTCATAAAACTAGGAATCGGAATTAGTTTGCTATCACATTGTTTGTTTCGGTCTGTATAACTAGAAGATTTAGGAAGTTGTTGTTCAATAAATTCAACGTTCTATTGGTGAGGTGTTATTAAAATTTCGTTTATTTACTATTTATTTCAGTTTTAGGGATTACGAAATCATTTTACTTAATTGAAGTGTTTTTTTTTAAACAGATAAGGTTTTTTTTTCCAGAATTCCTGGTCGCGAGATTTTTTAAACTGTTAATTAAATATCAAAATTAATGTTTCGAATAACATTAAATGTGTCGCCTCTTCGCTGTTGTCATTATATCATTAAGTTTTGTAAGAGTTTAGCCGCGGGACTCGTTTTTTTGTATTATAATGTATAAACTAATTAATTATATAGATTATATATTTCGGGAAGTACGAATCCGCGCGAAGCGTACAAATCATATTGATGGATATATGTATTAAATTTATTTTAAAATAATTCGTTTGTTTCATTTCATATAGCATTATGCTTGTTGCAATTGCTTGAAATATGACTCCCTACATCTGGATTGTGCTTTGCACGTTCAGTAGGGAATTGGAGTGAAGGAATGTATCGATATTTATAAAAATATCAATATCGGCAAAGTCGATATATCGAGGAGAAAATATCGATATTTTCTTCGTTGTCCAAAAAAAGGCTTCAGCAAGTGTTAAATATTTGATACCTATAACTGTGCCGGATTTGAATTCGAATAAATATAATTTTTGATTAGATTTCGATATTAAATATTCGTATCGATATATCGGATCCCAAATATATGCGTTTAAAATATCGATATCTTTTCGATATCGCTAACGTTCAGTGCTACCGAGTTAAGATTTTATTCCAGTGCCGGCGACTCGCGTGGCGTGTACAGTGTGTTTCGGTAATATTTTCAAATTATTATTATATTTATTTATTATATTCCAAATTATATTATCAAAATCAGGGTGTGGTAATAATATGTTATTGTAAGCATTTTTACGGTGATGGAGTAAAGGACCATATTTTATAGTAGAATGGAAAAAATCACTGCCACAGATTCACATAAATTAAGTACATAAATAACATACAATGACGTCAACCCAATAGCCAGAATAATTACGGTTTCGTTGACAAATATGGTTACACGTTTTTTGAGTACGTTTAATGTGGCGTTCACTGTACATTTATTTATTTATTTTTATTTATTTAAACTTTTTGCACAAACATTTGTGTACAAAGGCGGACTTAATGCCATCAGCATTATCTCCCAGTCAACCTTGGGGTGGTCCAGAAAAGTTAGGGTACGTGCATTTATAACAAATTTACAACAGAAAACAAAAATAAACCAATCAAAAGATTTTCAAATATGTACATTACATATGAAATCTACCAACAAAATACTACACTAATAATATCTGATAAAACTATACAATACCATACATATATATAAAATAAAGTAAACATATTAATGCACGATACATACACATACACATATACATGATATAAGATATACATACTTACATACTCATATTTTATATATAAATAAATATAATATATACATACTTTATATTATATTTAACGATTCAGAGAATCTGCTGACAGTTTTTTAAGGAAGTGCTCGCGAGTTTTAGCAGTCTTGATTTTGAGAGGCAGCGCGTTCCACAAAATAATGGACTGAACAAAGAAAGACGAGTGCATGAAACCAGTACGATGAGAAGGACATTGGAGAAGATGGTTATGTGTCGAGCGAAGATTTTTATGATGGATTGTACTAAGATATTGAAAATGAGGCGATAAATAAGATGGAGTAGAAGAAGAATTTAAAAAAGAATAAAGAGTGGTTAGTGCTCTTAAGGAGCGGCGTTGGCGAATGGGTAACCACTGAAGTTGGGAACGATAGTGAGACACATGGTCATACTTACGAAGATTGAAAATGAATCGAATGC